GGAGATTAAACCGCCCGTGGCTATCGAGTAACGAGTGTATCTGCTGCACCGAATCCGCCTGACACGTCTTGGTGAAGTAATCCGTCCCCAGATCCGCCCTTCCCCGCCCCCCGAACTTCCCCTGAAGATTCACTGAACCTTCCCGGCTGGCTGCTACAGCAGAGATGGCAAACGCCGCGTCTTTGAGGTGGGTGACTGAGGAGGAGAGGGAGAAGGAGGCATTGGGGAAGGAGCGGCGCCAGTGCAGGATCTCCTCCCAAGGGGTTGGGAAGACGAACTGGCAGTCGATGGTGAGAGACTGATGCAGGTGCCACGCCGGTGGGGGCTGCTGGGGGACTGCGGGGGAAAGAAGGGATAGGAAGGGACAAAGAGAGGGGAGGAGGAGTTGAGGAAGCAAGCAGCCAGTGCAGGATCTCCTCCCAGGGGGTTGGGAAGACGAATTGGCAGTGGATTGTGAGAGATTGATGGAGGTGCCACGCTGGGGGGGGCTGCTGGGGGACTGGGAAGGAGAGGGGAAGGGGTGGGTATGTGAGGGAAGGAAAGAAGAGCACAGGGGGTTGGTAAGACGAACTGGCAGTCGATGGTGAGCGACTGGTGCACGTGCCACGCTGGGGGGGGCTGCTGGGCAACTGGGGGGGAGAGAGAGGATAGAAATGGGGCAAATATTTGGGGGGGCGGGGAGGAAAGCAAAGCACAGCGGGTTGGGAAGACGGAATGACAGTGAAGGTTTGGTTAGGGCTTGGTGTAGGTGCTTTTTTAAGAAATCTCAAGGATCACCTAGTTCCTGGTGCTGCAAACCATTCCGCTAACCAGGTTTAGGATGGGTGGGTGGGTGGGAGCACAGTCCTCTGTCACAATGGTTTACCTGACAGGGTGGCCGGGTCCAGTATGTTAATGCCAAAGGGGGTGGAGAAGGGTGGGGAGGAGTACAGTTCTTCGTTTCCTTGCTTCCTTCTTTTCAGCCTCACCTGTAACAAGCCTTACTGGTTAGCACTTGTATTTCCCCTACCTTTAGTACTTGTGGTACAGTAGCCGGGTCCAGGTGTGTTTTGAGTCGACTCAAAACACAGCCTTACTGATTAGCACTTGTATTCCCCCTACCTGTAGTACTTGTGGTACAGTAGCCGGGTCCAGTATGTTAATCTCAGAGAGGGTGGAGAAAGGCGGGCTCGAGTACAGCTCAACTACATTGTGACTCCCATCATCGCTTGTTGTGGGGGTGGCCCCCGCCAGCATTTCCACCGAGTCCAGCAGGAAGCGGTAGAAGGGCGACAAGCACGCCGAGTCCTGCATGTAAAAGGCAATCCCCAGGGCGGATTTCCGCCTCACCTGTACCAAGCCTTACCAAACACATAGACCCCCTCACCAGATAATCTTCTTACCGGGTACAGTAGCTGGGTCCAGTATATTGATGCCAAACAGCGTGGAGAAAGGCGGTGAGGAGTAGAGCTCGACGACATTGTCACTGCCATCGTCGCTGGGGGGTGCCGCCCCTGCTAGCATTTCCACTGAGTCGACCAGGAAGCGGTAGAAGAAGGGCGACACGCGCGCCGAGTCCCGCAGGTAGAAGGCGATCCCCAGGGCAGACTTCGGCCGCCAGGCATCCAGAAAGCCCAGGGCTGTCAGCTCGCTGCTGGCACTGGGTGCAGACCCGGCTGTAGCAGCAGCTGTAGCAGCTGTTGTAGCGGCTGTAGCAGCAGCTGTTTTAGCAGACTTAGCAGCAGTGGCAGTGGCGGCTGCTTTGCCCCCGCCGCTGTTTGCTTTGGCTCCTGCTTTTGCGCCTGTTGCAACAGCTCCCTTGGTGCCTGCAGCTGTAGCCTTGGCTGTAGCAGCAGCTGTAGCCTTAGCTGTAGCCTTGGCTGCCCCAGCTTTTGCTCCTGCACCTTTCGCTGCTGCTGCACCACCCTTGGCAGCAGCCCCCTTAACTGCACCCCCCTTTGCTGTGACACCGGCGCCCTTCTTTGGCACCACTGCCGCTTTACCTAACAGGTGCCGCCCCAGACCCACACTACCCTCTCCTAACCCCTCCAGCAGAACATCAGTCTGGCCCTGTGCAAGCCCTCCAGGTGCCCATAAACCCTCTACCCAGTCCCCAGTTTCGTTAAACCCGAACCCAAAGTTTCTGCCACAACTGCTCCCACTGCTCCCGCTTCCATCCCCCGTCTCGTTATACCCAAGCAGCCTTCGCCTCTGGAAAACAGCAGCTGTGACTCGGTCTCGCGGAAACACAACAGTCCACCCGCTATCATCCCCGTCACCACCACCACCGGCACCCCCACTTCCTCCTCCTCCTGCTCCTCCTCCTGCTTTTCCTGCGCCCGCGCCTGCACCTGCACCAGCGCCCTTCCCTCCCCTGAGGCCTGCCGCAGCAGCGGTTCTGGCGGTGGTGGTTTCGATGGAAGGGGCGTTGGATCGGACGGTGTACGGCCCAAAGCGCCACTGCACGCGGCGAGTGGCGAGCATTACTGCTGACTCGTACTTGGGGTCGCTGCAGAAACAGGGGGGTATGGAGCAGACACGCATGAAAGAAGATCGGATCAAACAGTGTAGGGCGTAAAGCGCCGCTGCACGCGGCGAGTGGCAAGCAGCACGACTGACCCGTACTTGGGGTCGCTATAAAAGGGGTAGACGAGGGGAGGGTTGGGGAGGGAGGAGGGGGGAGGGGAGGTGTTGGTGAGTGGCAGACCGTATTGCTGCTGATTCGAATTTGTTTGGGGTCACTGATTCCACTGATTCCATAACACACGACACTATGGTGCTTGCATTTGCGTTTCCATTTGAAGCATATTGTAAAAAAAGAGAACAAATCTGTAGTATTGCTCGTCCCACAAAAAAGAGCACAAATTAGAAGTCCAGCAGAACCGTGAGCGGGGCGTAGTGCTCGTCCCAGAGCACTTTGCTCTGCAGAATGTCGAGACTCTCACCACCGTGAGCGTCTCTCCCCAAAGCTGCAGCATGTCAAGACTCTCCTCCACCGATTCCAGCGCACACGACGCTACTGTACTCGCATTTGTGTTCGTGTTGACGTTGGAATTTGTAGTAAAACAGTCAAGTATTTACTCACTGGCAATCCAGCAGGAAGGTCAGCGGGACATCGTGCTTGTCCCAGAGCACGTTGCTCTGCAGCAGGTCGAGGCTCTCCTCCACAGAATCCACGTCATTAGGCGCTACTGTACATGCATTAAGACTTGTATTTATATCGGGAAAACGAAGAAGGTGTATATTTTACGTACTGGCAGTCCAGCAGAACCGTGAGCGGGACGTAGTGCTCGTCCCAGAGCACTTTGCTCTGCAGCATGTCGAGGCTCTCCTCCACCGAATCCACGTCGCACGACGCGATCAGATGCACGTGCACGTGCAGCGAGTCGCTCTGATCGCCGGACTCCCCGCCGGACTCGTCCTCCCCGCCCCCCTCCCCCGCTCCCCCCGATTCTCCGCCGTCTCCGCCGTCTAGCTGCCGCTGCCGCTGCTTCAGCTGCTCCGGTAGCTCTTCCTCGTCTCTCGCGAGGTGAACCCCTAGGTCGTTGCTCGATCCCTTTCCGCCTTTGTCGTCTTCGTCCGCACTCATAAGCTGCCGGGTGATCGCGTTCTCGACAGTGTCTTCCTCGATTTCGACAAAAGAGAGAACGGTTAGGGTGAGGAAGGAGAGAGCTAGGAGGACCACTAAAAGCCGGAAGAACGCGGGGGAGGTGAAGAGAGCGATTAACGGAGGGGGTTTTGGCCGGAGTCCCTTCGGGACGGGTACGCGCGAGGCTAAGACGGCGCGAGAGGAGCCTACTCTCAAGGAGGCGGCTCCTCCTTTACTGGGGTGTAGCCTCATTTTGAGGGTAAATTACCTTCACGATCAGACGAGATCAGAATGCTACGAACGTCGCTGATTTCGAGACAGAAAAAAAAGCTTCCTCAATGTCGGCTACTGCGATACAAGCATGATCTTGTGCTGCGTATTGTACACCAGGAACTTGGAGAGTGGCAGAACGAACGGCGGTGATGGACGTTACTTGGAGAATCTACGACGATCCAATGTCTTCAAGTGAAAGCGAAGCAGCGACAATGGCGAGTCGCTAATCTGCGATAGGGTCATTCAAGCATGCTCTCCCGCAGGATCAGCTCGGAATTTGCGATCTTCTTCCGCATTACGATAGGACGCTTTTAACGGGTATTAGACTAAGGACGACGGCGAATATCATGACCGGATCAAGACTGCTTCTAAACGAAACAATCAGCAGATCGGGATGGCTAAGGCCCGCTGACTGGAAACGCGTGACTAGAGCCGAAGCAAGCGGACCAGGGAAGCGTCGACAATGCGGAGCTAACTAGATGACTTTTGAGTCGACTCAAAAGCTAACTTTAGAGGCTTTCTTGAGGCTGCAGAATGTGGTTGGGGCTGATAGAACTCTTGATGAACTCGCTCTGAATGAGGAAGCATTGCTCATTTCGCCTGGTGACTCCGAGATTCAGGGCAAACGCCGCGAGAAGGACACCTCACGCCTCAACAGAAATGTTGTTGAAGAGCGTTCCAGCAATCTCGGCCCTGGAGAATGCCGAGCCACCCAGTTTTCCGCCCTCGAGATTGCCGAGCCACTCAAATTTTGACCCTCGACATTGCCGAGCCCAAGTAGGGTCAAGTAGGCGCCAGTATGGCCAGGGGGGGGGCGGTGTTGTGGAGGTGGCTCCAACCATCCCAACCCAACCAATGGGAGCGTCGCACACCAGTGATGGCCGGTGGAGGGCACACCCTCTTCAAACTGGCAGGAAGGAAAGAAGGCTATTCCTCAACACGCACATCTGCGTATTTCTGCCTGACTTTTACCTGAACATTTGCTTTACTTACTGTAGTCATTATTTGGATTGATTGAATGCAGCCAGTGGGGAGGACCGGGCTTGACCCGCATTGTGTATGCGCCCCCATGGCCCTGAAGCTACCTACCACCGCCCTGGTTATGACGATGGGAGAGATAATAAAAAAGAACCACTCCTTCTAGTGGAAAAACAATACATGATAAAAACAAGCAACAAAGCAAGAACAGATTGGAATGTCACATGTTGAAATGATGCATGCGCATACTTCCATGCTGTTACTGCTTCCCTCTTTCAGCTCCAGCTGCGTCTCTCACAAATCTTGGACTCCATATCCTTTGGAGAGAGGATGGGAGCAAGCAACGCAGCTCCACCCTTCTGCCATATCTTTCTACACCACTCTAGAACCTCAACCTGCACACATGATTTGACAAATTAAGAACAAAACAAGCTCATGTATAACATCCATAGGCACACAAGGATAAAACGAAGGGGAGCCGCGCGGTAAGCAGTTGTCCCACGTGCAAGCAACAAGGTAGCTCAAGACAAAGAGTGACTCCCACCGCAACAGCACAATGCTCACCTCGAGGAAAGGCTTGTTGGAGACGTAATGGCCGTCTACCGTGTATTCCCCGTCACCCATATCTACAGAAAGCGCCATTCCAGCAGAGTCCGCGGACGAGGGTAAGGATTCAACGGCTTGCTTGCGCACGACACCTGGGAAGCGGAGGAGCGAGAAGTGTAGGGAGAAGTGTAAAAGCACAAGAAAGGGCATTGGATGCTTTTTGAGGTGCCTAAAAAAAAGAGTTGGCGGACGCGGGTAAGGATTCAACGGCTTGCTTGCGCACGACACCTGTGAAGCCAAGGAGCGAGACGTTTGAGGAGTGAGACGTGCAAGGAGCAAGGCACAAGAAAGGGCACTGGATGCTTAAAGGAATGAGTGACGTTTAAGCCGAGGAGCGAGACGTGCGAGGAGCAATTGTGAAAGCACAAGAAAAGGGCACTGGGTGCTCCAAGGAATGAATGACGAGAACTGGATTAGCAAAATTGTTGGGGAAGACAAAAAAGAAACAATAAAGAAGACAACCAAAAGGGAGAAGAAAAACTTCACAAGCCGTGCAAGGACATGCATTACAAACCTAGTATTTTGGCCATGCGGTAACCAGTGCCGCCCAGATCCTCCTCCCTCTTGCCCAAGCGGAGGCGGAGGAAGAAGCCAACCACTCGCGCCCTGACACCTGGATGGCTTTGAATCCTGCAGGCACAGCGGAAGGACAGACCCGAGAACAAGGTCAAGCAGCCGAATCGTGTGACAATCTAAAAAAATGATTTTCATCGCATGGAATCTGCAGGTACAGCGGACGGACAGCCCTGGAGCGAGGTCAAGCAGCCGAACCGTGTCATAATCTCAGAAAACGATTATCATCACGCGGAATCTGCAGGCACAGTGGAAGGGCAGATCCTAGAGCGAGGTCAAGCAGCCGAGGCGGAGTGGTGTGGTCAGGAGAGTCTACGCAAGGTTGGTGGGGATAGATAGAGGGAGCGGAAAGGCTAGTGCGGAGGGGGCCGGCGGAACTTACCTGACAACGTCCCTTTGGGAGAGCTGCAATGATTCTAAGGAAACGAGCAGGCCAGGGTTGGGGGGGGAAGAGATAGCGGCAGGGAAAGGTGGGTGCGGAGGGGGGGGTGGCGGAGCTTACCGGACAACGTCCCTTCGGGAGAGCCGCAACGATTCTAAGGAGGCGCGCAAGCCAGGGGGCACGGCAGGCTGCTGCCCCCCTGTTGGGGAGCAAGAGAGCAAGTTGGGGTACGGCGGACCTTACCTGACAACCTCTCTTCGGGAGAGCCGTAATGATTCTATGGAAACGAGCAAGCCAAGGTTGGGAGGGGACGAGATTGAGGGAGGGGAAAGGTGGGTGCGGAGAGGGAGGGCGGAACTTACCGGACAACGTCCCTTCGGGAGAGCCGCAACGATTCTATGGAGGCGAGCAGGCCAGGGGGCAGGCTGTTGCCCCCCTGTGCGGTGCTGCAAGTGGGACTCAGGTCAAAGAGGGCAAACCAGCCTGGGAGCAGGGCAGAGGAACAGGGCATTTCTGCCCGTGCATTTCCCTCTCCCGGAGCCACATTCCTCGTGCCCGCCTCTCCTTTCCGTTGGTCAGGCGCTACCATGGACTTGCCTGCCTCCCCTGTTGCCCGAGCTGCTGCTGCTGCACCTGTGGGTCTGTGCGCTGCAGCTGGCGACGCGCCTGCTGCTGCACTTCTTCCTGCTGCCTCTCCTGCTGTCTCTACTGCTACCTCTGCAGCTGCCCCTGCTGCTGCCGGCCCTGCTTCTGCTGCTGTCCCTACTGCTGCTGCTGCCGCTACTGCTGCTGCGACGTCTGCTTGAACTGCCACTGGTTCTAAGTCCCAAGAATCAGCACCAGGTGCCTGTAGAGATGCTCTATCTGCTCTGGCTTCCCGCCTTTTGGCACCGACAAATCTTTCTACTGCTACAGCTGCTGCTACAGCTGCTGTGGCTGTTTGCTCTGCCACTGGCTCCAAGTCCAAGTCCCATGAAACAGCGCCAGGTGCCTGTACAAATGATTGACCTCCCCTGGCATCCTGCCTTGAGTCACCGTCAAAATCATCTAGCATGCCCATATCTATTCCCACCACTGCACCTTCCCCTGCCTCTGCTTCTGCTCTCCTTGCTTCTTCTCCTGCTGCTGCCTCTACCTCTGCTGCTGCTGCTCCTCCCTCTGCTGCTGCCGCTGCCTCTACCTCTGCTGCTGCTGCTCCTGCCTCTGCTGCTGGTGCTCCTGCCTCGACTGCTCTTCCCTCTGTTTCCCTGCCCGTTCCCACTGCTTCCCTGCCCGTTCCCACTGCTTCCCTGCCCGTTCCCACTGCTTCCCTGCCCGATAATACCATCCCCCTCAGCGTCATTGTATTCGACACCTCCCTGCACGTCCCAGGCCCAGTCAGCGAAGTCCCAACCCCAGTACCAACCCCCGTACCAACCCCCGTACCAGTAGTCTCCCTCCCTGTACCCATGGTGTCCCTTCCAGTGCCAGTGGTTGCTCGGCCCGTGCCAGCTGTGTCCCTGCCACCTGTCTCCCTGCTACTGGTTGCGTGCTTCACCCGGGCCCTCGCCAGGTCAGCACACTCCGCCGCCCAATGGCCTTCTGCCAGGCACCACAGGCACACGGGCGTAGGCCCATCATCCCTGGCTTCTCCCACCGCTTCATCTCCTTCTGCCTCTTCTCCTCTCTCCATCTCTTGGTCCCCTTCACTCGCTTCCTCTCTTTCCTTCCTCTCTTGCGAATCCTCCCCTTCCTCTCTCGCGTCTCCTCTCTCTCCTCCCAGGCTTTTCCCCACCAGCTCGTCGTCCTTCCCACTACTCTCCCCTGCCTTCCTGTTGTCATTCCCTCCCTCCTCCGGACCCTTCTCTTCACTCTCCTCCATGTGCTCGCCCTCTCTTTTGTCTATCCCCGCCTCGCCAGGCAACTCCTCATTCTCACAGCAACCCCCCGCTCCTCCCTTTCGCTTTTGAGGCACCTCAAAAGCAGCCCCCCCCTCACCAGGCAACTCTCCATTCTCACTGCAACCCCCCGCTCCTCCCTTCCCCAGCTCCTTCCCTCCCCCCTTGCCATCCTCCTCCCCTTTCTCACACTCTCCTTCCACATCCTTTGAAGGGTGCTTTTGAGAATTACACCCTTCAAAAACACCCTCCACCCCTTTCACCTCACATTCTCCTTCTACATCCTTTGCCAGACTGCTTACCCCCCCATACGCCCTCCGAGACTCCTTACTGTTATTCCAAGCCTTCCTTTCACCTTCCTCCCCTCCTGCTGCCTCTTCATAATCAGCGGCCACACCACCACTACCAACACCATCACCATCATCAGCAGCAGCAGCACCACCATAATCACAAGTACCACCAGCACCAGCAGCAGCAGCGGCACCACCATGATCACCAGCAGCACCAGCACCACCAGCACCACCAGCACCATCAGCAGCATATACCTCTTCTCTTCCCCTCTCCTCTCTCACCTCCCCCTGCCTCCCTGCTCCCCGACTTCCTACTCCTCCAACAACCCACAAGTCATGCGGTGCTAAGAACACCCCTCCTGCTCCTGCTGCCCGTATCCCTGATTGCTGAAGTACACCTTCCCCAGCTGCACCTGCCCCACTAACAAGAGCACCCACAGATGCGTAAGTGATTTCCCCCAACAACAATTCACGTGGAGTCCCGATAATACCTCCCCCAGGCGCACCTGCTCCACTAACAAGAGCACCCATAAGCACGTTACTGTTTCCCCCACAACTCGACATACGCCCCGCACTTTCGCTGTTGCTGTTCAGTACACCCAGTCCTCGTTTTAAGCCCAGAGCCCTTGCCAGAGCAGGCGGAACGGAAGAGGGACGAGATGCCCCATATGGCAGATACGAACCAATTCCTGCTATACTTGCAACCACCCCAAAATCCCCAGCTTCCCCCAACCCCTCCTCAACCCCCCCTATACCGTCTAGTCTCCCTAGACCTCCTGCAGATTCTATAGCGCCAACGGCTGTTAAACCTTCCCCTGTGTCCCCCGCCCCTTCCTTTCCACCACCCAAGCGCCCCCCCTCCCCCTCTCCTCCACCCACCCCCTCACCCCTCTTCCCCCTCTCTCCTCGCCCCTCCTCCCCACCTCCCTCTCCCCGTCTTCTCCTCTTCCCGCCCCTCCTCTCCTCCTCTCTCCTCTCCTCCTCTCGCTTCCTCTTCCACCTCTCCACCCCCCTATCCACATCCCCCTTGGCAGCCAGCCGGCCAATCAGAGCAGAGGTCTCAGAGTCAAGCGTTTCAGCGCAAGTCAACAGGGTGTGGCCGGGCAGGCCGCAGAAGTCACAGCGGGGGGAGGACCCGGTGAGGGAATGGCCGAGGGCCAGGTAACCGATTTCAAGAATGGGAAGCATGCACCTGGGGGTGGTGACGGGGGGTGGGGGGCCAAGAGCACCAGTGACAGCAACAGCGCCAGTAGCAGCAGCAGCAGCAGCAGCACAAATAACAGCTGCAGCACCAGGAACAGCAGCATCAGCAGCAGCAGAAGCAGCAGCAGCAACACCAGGAACAGCAGCAGCCGCATCAGGAACAGCAGCATCAGCATCAGCAGCAGCAGCAGCAGCAGCAGCAGCAGCAGCAGCAGCAGCAGTGCCAGTCTCCATGCCTTCTCGTGCTCCTTCTCGTCCTTCCTCTCCCTCTCTTCCTTCTGACCTACCATTGCCTTCCTCCCTTCCTCTTCCACCCCCTTTACCTTCCCCTTCTCCTCCTCCCTCTCTAACCCCTCTCCCCCCACTCAACATCCCCACGCCCTTCCCTACAAGCCCTAGGCTCCGCTCCTGCCGGCCAATCTCCTCGCGCCACCTGGCAGCCTCTTGCCGCCACAAGCGCAGCGCCTCCAGCTTGGCAGAACTCTCCCCTTCTAGCAACCCCCCCACGGATGCCTTCTCCTTATCTCTTATCCTCCTCTCTCTATCCTTTTCTGTTCTCTCACCGTCTCTCACCCCTCTATGCCCTCGTCTCTTCCCTCTCCCCTCGTCTCTCTCCTGCCTAGAAGGCTCCCTCTGATCCCCCCTCTCCCTCTGATCCCCCCTCTCCCTCTGATCCCCCCTCTCCCTCTGACCCCAGTCACTCTCCTCCCGCCCTCTCTTTCCTCTACCCTGCTCTCTCCCGCCTTCTCTCTCTCTTTCCAGTCCTCCATCCCCTTTCTCGCTCTCTCTCTCCCTCACATCGTGCACTTCCCTTTCCTTCCCCAACCGCAAATCCAACAATCCTCCCACACCATCCCTCCCGCCCATCCCCTCCCTCCCTCCTAACCCCTCCTTACGGCCCCCTTCAATCGCCATCCCAGCAGCAGTCACTCCATACCTCAAATAGCCCGTTCTCCCCAGGCAATCCTGCATTTTATCCTGCATTTTATCCTGCATTTTATCCTGCATTTTATCCTGCATTTTATCCTGCATTTTATCCCGCAATCCCGCTGCACACTCCCCCACGCCCCTCGTGCCCCCCCTGCCTACGTCGGTTCCCACCAGGCAATCATGCAATCCTGCTGCTTCACCTACCCGAGTTTCCTTAGCAAACTGCAGCTCTATATGCGCCTCTCTCACATGGTCTGCCTCCCGTGCCTCCCCCTTCCTCTCACTCCTTACTGCTTCTGCAGCATACGGCCCTTCTGCCTCCCCCTTCCTCTCACTCCTCACTGCTTCTGCAGCATACGGCCCTTCTGCCTCCCCCTTCCACTCACTCCTCACTACTCCTGCAGCATATGGCCCTTCTGCCTCACCCGCCGCTTCCCCTGCCTCCCCCCTCTCATCTCCTTCGCTGTCCCTCTGCCACCTCCCACGCGCCCTCCACCCGCCTTTCCCTACTGCCACTGGCCCGCCCACACATCTACTTGCCGCAACAAGGGAGTCCGAGCCTGCAGGTGCGTGGATTGCCGAACCTGCTGCATCAGGTATGGAAACGGCTGGGAGCACTTCCATACCAGCCGCTGCCCTAGCAACAGCACCAGCAGCCGCAGCAGACGGGCGAATAGAAGCACGGACCGCAGCAGCAGCAGCAGCAGCAGCAGCCCCGCCTATCACTGCACTCGCACCAACGCCGGCACTAACTGCCTCCCTGCCCACGTCAAGCCCAGCACTCAAATTATGGTTTCGCAAAGGGTTGAGATTAGGGTTAGGATTCGACCAAGGGCTTGAGGCAAAATTAGGGTTTGTCAAGGGCCTCAAATTAGGGTTAGGGTTTCCGGCTGCTCTCAGTGTGGCCGCTCCTGGCATAACTGCTCCCACCGTAGCCGCTCCTGGCACAAGTGCTCCTAACATTGCTGCCCCTGGGATAGCTGCTCCCGGCATGGGTATTCCTATTGCTGCTGCTGCTGCTGCTGCTGCTGCTGCTGCTGCTGCTGCTGCTGCTGCTGCTCCAGATCCACCTTTAACCGATGAGGAGAACCTTTGGTACTGAAGGACGGTTAGCGGGCTTGGAGATCTACGGATTTCTGCTCCTTGTACTTCACTTGGTTCTTGAGTCCTTCTCCTCCCATCCCCCCCTCCGTCGACCCCTGGCTGCTGCGCTCCACCTGCTCCTCTTCTCCACCCTCCTGCCCTGCTCGGTTCTGCCTCCTCACCGCACCTTCGCTGCTGCTGCTGCTCCTGCTGCTGCTGCGACTGGTTCTGATGTTGCTGTTGCGGAGCTGTCTGAAATGGAAACCCTAAAATCCTAGGCTGCTCACTCCCGACCCCTTGGCCCCCGAGCCTACCTCCAATATTTTTTTCACCCTCCGGCCCCCTCTCCTCTCCCCTCTCTATCATCCTATTCCCAACCACGGGAACCTTCGGCTTGATGAGCCGGGCAAACCACTGCCCGCTGGGAGTAGAACTCCCCCCTTTAAAACCACCCCCTTTAAAAGCACCTCCTTTAAAAGCATTAGTTCTAAAAGCCCCCCCAACACTCTCCTTGCCTTCGTTCCGAGGTAGCAGAGGAGAGAGATCCCGGCCTGTTGCTGTGCTTGCCAGAGCCCGAGGTTCGGCACCGGACCCGTCCGTGGTTCGGCCCAATCCTCGAGGTAAGGTTTGGGGGAGTGACGTCAAAGCGGCAGAGGGACCTCCCATGTGCGGTGGAGTGACAATAGTTGCTTGTGCCCCTGTCACCCGTGCTTCAACCGCAGTCAACCGCACTTGTGCCCTGGTCAACCCCGCTTGTGCCCCTATGAGCCCTGCTTGATGTGTTTGTTGGTCTGACTCCCGCTGCTGCTGATGCTTCTGCTGCTCCTTCTGCTGTTGTGGCTGGCTTTGCGGCTGCTGCTGCTGATGTGTCTGCTGCTGCACCTGGGCATATTCGTCTTGCTGCAAGCACGCCAACCCCACTTCCTCTGCCCATGCTTCCTGCTGCTCATGTTGCTGTTCGCCTTGCTGTTGCTCGTCCCTTCCTTCCCTCTCCTCCTTCTCTTCTTCCCCGCCCCTCTCTTCCCTCTCTTCCCTCTCTTCCCTCTCTTCCCTCTCTTCCCTCACTTCCCTACCCTCCCTCCCCCCTCTCCCACTCCTCCTTTCCCTCCCTTCTCTCACCTCTCTACCCCACTCCGGCCCATGCAAAGACGACCCACGCGCCAAGAAAGGCAGCTGAGAGGCAAGGGAGGACGCAGGGGACGAGACAGACACCCCAGCTGCTACAGTAGAAGTGGGCGAGGAAACACGAGCAGCCACAGCAGCAGAAACGGACGCAAGTCCACCCCTAGCAGCTGTAGCAGGTGCAGGAAAATCCACAGCACTAATTACCCGCGGGTTTCTCCATTCTGCACTCGTCCCTTCTGCCTGAAACCCCCCCGCACCCATCTCCAGGTCTATTCCCAGACCAAGTTCCAGGCCTAGACCCGGACCTCCTGCCGAGCCTGCGTCTGGCTTGGCTCGGTTTCTTCCTGTGGATCTCCAGAGAGAAAATTGCTTCGGAATGGGAGACCGAGGAAAGCCATTTCCAGTAAAATCGCCAGCCACTTCTGTCTCCCCTCCTCCTCCTCTTGCTCCTCCTCCTTCTCCTCCTCCTCCCCCGTCTCCTTCTCCTGCTCTTCCCTCATCCTCTTGTCTACACTCCCCTTTCCCAGCTCCTCTCCTATCCACCCATTCACACCGCTCTTCCTGGCTAAAACCTGCTACAGCCTCCTCCTCCTCCTCCTCCACCTCCACCTCTTCCCCTCCCCTTCCTCTGCCTCCCCTCCGCCAAAGCAGCCCAACTCCTCTCCTACCCACCCATTCACACCGCTCCTCCTGACTAAACCCTGCTACAGCCTCCTCCTCTTCTTCCTCCTCCACCTCCACCTCTTCTCCTCCCCTTCCCCTCGCTCCCCTCCGCCACAGCAGCCCAACTTCTCCCAAGCCTACTCTCAAACCCTCCCTTCCCCAACCCGCCCTTAGAGGAACTTCCTCTGCCCCCCCTCTCCCTTCTTCTCTCCCGAGTCCTCTCTCCGTCTCTACCCTTCCTTCCACACCTGTCCCTCTCCCCGCCCCTACTCCTCTCTCCTCTCCCACCCCTCTCCCCTCCCATACTCCCCTTGACCTTCCAACGCCTGTTCCCCCTCCTACTCCTCTCTCTGCACCAATCCCTCTCTCTCCTCCCTCCCCTCCATCCCGTCCCTCCCCTCTCTCCGCCCCTCCCCTGTTCTCTCTAACCATACCCGTCCGCAGGTCGCTAGCCTCCCCCTCCTCAGTCCCCCCTTCCCCAGTTCCACCCTCCCCCAGGCTCCCCCTTAGGCTCAAGAGCAGGGAGCCAGCAGGTACGACCTGTAACACCTCCCTCCCCCTCCACCCTTGCTCCTGGTAAAGCTGCTGAGTCTGCTGTTGGTGCTGCTGCAATTGGTGGTGCTGCTGCAACCGATGCTGCAACTGCTGCTGCAGAAAATGGTTATGAGAGTGATTATCCTGCTCTTGATGGTGGTGGTTCTGCTGCCGCTGAGGGGGATCATGATTGAGATGGTGATGATGACGGTGATGGTGCTGGTCGTGCCACATGTGCCAGGGTTGTGGGAACTGACTCGGTAGCTGCTGGTGATGAGCTGGCAGCTGCAGATGACGTGGCAGCTCCTGCTGATGCCGATCAGTATGCTGCTGCTGACGTGGCAGGAGAACCCCTACTGGAAGTCGGTCATCAGAATCTGACTGGCCTAAGATCCTATCCTCAGTCCCACCTGTCCCCCCACTCCCACTGTGCAACCCACTATATAACCCACTGTGTAACCCACTGTGTAACCCACTGTGTAACGCAGGCACCAGCAGAGCCTCCTCTCTTCCTTCTACAAACCGACCGGCGGCACCACCCCCAGGAGCAGCAGCCGCCGCGACAGCAGCAGCACCCGCAGCAGGAGCAGGAGCAGGCGCAGGAGCACCCGCAGCAGCAGCAGCAGGAGAAGGAGCCGCAGCAGCAGCAGGTGGAGTTAGTCCGGCGTTTGGCGTTAGCCCAGCAGCAGCAAGGTGCACAGCGAGCCATCCCCCCGCCCCGCCTACTCTCGTTGATCTCCCTCCAAGCCCCTCGCCTCCTGCCCTCGCCAACCTCCCACCAATCCCATGACCTCTCCTGGCTGGCCTCTGACTCTCTCCTCGGCCATTCCTCTCTGTTGGATGGAGATGGTCTGGCTCAATCCCCGCCGTCAGATCTGCGCTGTTAAATCCACCGGTGGTGCCTGGGCCTTCCAGAGGCGTGTCTCTGATTACCACTGTGTTTCTGGTTACCACCGTGTTTCTGGTTACCACCGTGTCTCTGGTTACCACCTTATCTCTTGTTACTGCGCCTAGTTGCGCATCCAGTCTGTCTGGTTCCCCTAAGGGACCCACAGCTAAGCCTTGAGCCGTGCTGTGAGACCGTGAAGCAAGGCCCAAGGGCCTGTGCAGGAGGCCTGAAGGACTGGTACCACCTGGTTGCACATCCAGCCTGTTTGGGTCCTCTAAGGGACCAGTAGCTCGGCCGTGAGCCGTGCTGTGAGACCACGGAGCAACGCCCGAAGGCCTGTGCTGGAGGCCTAACAGACTATCATCCAGGTGCAGATGTGCCTGTTGCTGCTGCCGCTGCTCTTCCCTCACTTGCTGCTCCTCCTCACTCTGCATCCGATCCTGCTGCTGCTCTTCCCCCAGCTGAGTAAGCGAGTCATTCTTCTCTTTCTCTGCGCTCCCACTATCCGTCATGATCTTCGGTTTTCTCAAATTATCGTTTCCGACTTCGGTACCCGTCCCGCATCCCTCTCCTCCTCCTCCTGACCTTCCAACTCCGTGACTGCTCTCGCCATCCCCGATATAAGCATGTCTTCGGACACCTATATCCTCGCATCCTTCCTGAGACTCTAACGAGGACCCACCGCCAGCCGTGGCTACCGCCTTATCCTTAAAGAGAAACCTAGAATCCGCGTTTTCCTTACTCGCGGTCGTCCTTAGGACCTTCTTCCTTCCCACGCGCTTCGTCAGCACAACGGAAATTAATCTCCGCCCTAGCAGCTACTCCTTCCCGCTGCGGGTCGTCTGTTCTCCGCTGACAACGTGGCGTGCTCTGATTGGTCGTCCGCAGCAGCCATCATTGCCACTACTAGCATAATACGCCATTGAAGTTTGAGCAGTACAGGGAGCGAGCTGACATCGTGTTCGTGTTTCTGGTATTAGCTCCCTAAAAGCGTTGAGCAATTCACTGGAACGCCACTTCCTTGACCGCCGGAAACCCGCAGCTTACATCACAACTCCGGCGTCGATTCCCTTACGCGTGCTCTATCGTTCCCCATGCCTGAACCGACTGCTCTCATTGCTCTACTCTACTATAGTTAGAGCCATACTGGGTACTACAAGCGAGCAATGCCTGTGGGTTGGGGGGGACAGGAATATCAAGAGAAATACCTCAAGTCAAGGTAAAAAAGAAAAGGATTTGCCTGTTACTGTTTCTGTTCACCTCGATATTTTCGCCAGGCTGCCAGGGGAGGGGATGCTTCGATAATCTTGGGGTTCAGACTGTGGTTCGATATTAGGCGGCTCCCCGAGATTTCTTAAGAAGACACGTTGTGTTTCAAACTACAAATTTTCTTAAAACAAAAAGAGGGGAATCCACGTAGGTTGAACAAGGGCAAAGCGAATGTGAAATAGGCGAACATATGCTATGTACGACGGTATATTCAAATATATATCGCCTTATATTATTTTCTTGCTGCTGCAGTGGACACGCTTGCACCTGAATCCAAGCGATGCACTATGCACGCATCTCCTTATGTCCGGCGTATTCTTTTTTTTTTTTTTATGAGAGTGGAGGGAAGGAGGGATAAGATGGTGTCTTAGTTGAACGGAGGGAGCAACATGCTCAGCGCCTTTGCCACTACCACCACTATAAGCAGCAGCAGTAGCGGCAGTGACAGTGGATGGTGGGGAGCGACATTCAGAAATCGGGGGTGAGCAACAACATATTGGTGCATTGGCAGCAGAAGCAATGTCTGCGTTGGCATTGTTGGTACACTGGTAGCCAGAGTAGCAGGTGGCAGCAGCAGCAGTGGGATGGTACGAGCAACAACCACAGCTCGATTGCCAGCAGTAGCTTCAGAATGGGATCAGCTGAATTTGAGTTCACACCGGTAGCAGAAGCATGGAGCAGCAGTGCAGTGGCGCCCAAAGCAGCAGGTGACAGCAGCATCAGTTCGCAGTGGTGATGCGAGCAACAAACACAGTTTGATTGCCAGCAGCAGCTTCAGAGGGGGATCAGCCACCTCTTGACTCAACACCAGTAGCAGAGGCATGGAGCAGCAGTGGGCATTTGGCAGTACAGTGATGGCCAGAGCAGCAGGTGACAGCAGCATCAGTGCGCAAAGGCGGTGCGAGAAACAACCACATACCGATTGCTTGCAGCAGCTTCAGAGGGACCTCAGTGCCTGTGACAGTGCAGGGCACATCACCTAAATGATCAGGGAGAAAGGGCGGCTGTAGCAGAAAGGAGTGGTTGGAGCACATCACCTAAATGATCAGGCAGAAAGGGCGGCTGTAGCAGAAAGGAGTGGTTGGAGCACATCACCTAAATGATCTGGCAGAAAGGGTGGCTGTAGCAGAAAGGAGTGGTTGGAGCCCATCACCTAAATGACCTGGCAGAAAGGGTGGCTGTAGCAGAAATGAGTGGCTGGAGCAGAAAACGGCAGTTCTAGCCGCAGTGGTTGGAGGGAAGGAGTCAATAGTGGCAGCACTGGCGCTGTCTGTGGCAGCAGTACGAGCAGCAAGAACTACTAGAGAAGTTGTGTGCATAGGGGATAGATTTGACAGGACGAGCAGGGGCAGCAGCAGCAGCAGCAGCAGCAGCAGCAGCAGCAGCAGCAGCAGCAGCAGCAGCAGCAGCAGCAGCAGCAGCAGCAGCAGCAGCAGCAGCAGCAGCAGCAGCAGCAGCAGCAGCAGCAGCAGCAGCAACAGCAGGAACTACTAGAGAAGGTGTGTGCATAGGGGAGAGATTTGACAGGACGAGTAGGGGCGGCAGCAGCAGCAGCAGCAGCAGCAGCAGCAACAGCAGGAACTACTAGAGAAGGTGTGTGCATAGGGGAGAGATTTGACAGGACGAGTAGGGGCGGCGGCAGCAGCAGCAGCAGCAGCAGCAGCAACAGCAGGAACTACTAGAGAAGGTGTGTGCATAGGGGAGATATTTGACAGGACGAGTAGGGGCGGCAGCAGCAGCAGCAGCAGCAGCAGCAGTAGTAGGAACTACTAGAGAAGGTGTGTGCATAGGCAATTCAGGACTACGTAGGCTGGGGCAAGAGGAGTGGAGCATCAGCAGCAGCAGCAGAACCAGCAGAAGCAGCAGCAGCAGCAGCAGCATTAAGAACAGCTAGGGAAGTTGTGCAGAGAGGGGTGCAAACCTGAAGGGGGGATGAGGCAGGTGAGGGAATTCAGGATTGCATAACCTGGGCCAAGAGGGGCGGACAGGAACAGGAAAAGGGAACAAGAACAGTGAGAGGACGACCAAAAGGGGCAGGAGAGACAGTGGTTCTATTTGTTTGTTTATTGATTATGGGGTTGTACAGAGGCGAAGGGAGATATGAAAGTGGTACTCCTAAGAAGAGGCAGTGGCACATAGGGGACAGGACCTTCTCAAGATGGTATGGAATAGGGATGTAACAACAAGGATTTAAAGTGGGAATTGGAGCTGGAGGTTCCCAATTTATGGTCGAAAGACAACTATGTTGGATACTTATTTGGCCGTCAAAGGAAACAGAAGCCGCACTATAATTATTCCCAGTGTTGCAGACTAGCAGTGCTGATTTTGGGTGGTTGGAAGTAAGGTTGGAGATCGGAAATAGAAGATATGACTGGAGGGATATGATATGACCGCCAATACTTTGGAAATTACTGTATATGTGGTGCAACAAGATTCGACTTCATAATACGTGATTGCATAAATGCACAATGTTTGCAAATGTGGATGTTTGTGATGTACAACAAATACTATAAACAGTATAACGAAATAGAAACAAGACATTGAAGAACTAGTTACATACAACCACTATTTTAACTCAACACTTTTGCCTCTTTCCTTCATGTGCCACATGCGCAATCACCTTGCGAATGGCAGCAAGGGCAGCAGCAGCCTCCCTACTCGAATCATACTCCACTGGTATCTTCTTCCCGCGCACCCTATCTATCACATGGAAGCATCGGTCCCCTTCCTTCCCTGGAAGATGAGAGATCCGATAGTGATGCTGATCGGACAAAGGCCGGATGGATGAGGCAGGGGGGACAGAAGTTGTGACAGCAGCAGGAGCGGCAGCAGCAGGAGGGGCAGCAGCAGGAGCGGCAGCAGCAGGAGGGGCAGCAAGAGGGGCAGCAGCAGGAGGGGCAGCAGCAGAGGTGGGATCAGCAGGTGCAGGAGCAGCTGCAGGGCCAGGATCGTCAGCACGCGCAGCAGTAGCAGCAGCAGCAGCAGCATTAGCAGCAGCAGCAGCCTGAGCAGCAGCTACTGCTGAAGCATCATCAGCAGCAGAGCCTGATTCCACAGCAGGTGAGTCTGCAGCTGCTGCCGCATCCACCAGTTTTTGAATGCTCCTTTTACACATGGCTGCAGCTGCTGCCACTGCTCCTCCTCCACCTGCTCCTCCCGCACCTGCTCCTACCGCACCTGCTCTTCCCGCACCTGCTCTTCCCGCACCTGCTCCTCCCGCACCTGCTCCTCCCGCACCTGCTCCTCCTGCACCTACTCCTCCCGCACCTGCTCCTCCCGTACCTGCTCCTACTGCACCTGCTCCTCCTGTACCGGCTCCTCCCGCACCTGCTCCTCCCGTACCTGCTCCTACCGCACCTGCTCCTCCCGTACCTGCTCCTCCCGCACCTGCTCCTCCCGCACCCGCTCCTCCCCCACCTGCTCCTCCCACACCTGCTCCTCCCGCACCCGCTCCTCCACCACCTGCTCCCCCCGCACCTGCTCCTCCCGCACCTGCTCCTCCCGTGCCTGCTCCTCCTGTTCCTGCATCTGCAGTCTCTGTGACTCCAGCTGGTTTTCGCTTGCTCCTTCTACACATGGCTGCACTGGCTGCCACTGCCCCTCCTGTACCCGCTTCTGCAGTCCCCGCGGCTCCCACTGATTTTCGCTTGCCCCTTCTACTCACGGCTGCAGCTGCTGCCACTGCTCCTCCCGTACCTGCTTCTGCAGTCTCAGCTGCTCCCACCGGCCCCAACTTCCCTTGCCCGCGCACTGCTGCACTATCAGCTACAGCTGGCTTAGCAGCACTGGCAGTAGCAGCTACAGCTGCTCTAGCGCCACTGGCTGCTGCCCCTTTTTGCGTACCCCTTGCCTTCCTAAACCCACCCCTACCGCTCTTCAGTCTGTCACCTGCCTTTCTCTTCTCCCCTTCTTCTGTCTCATCTTTCTCTTCTGCATTCCCTTTGGATTCAAGAGGGAGGCCGACACCAATGCTGTTCAGTTTCAGAACCATAGCAAGCCCACTGCATGGCAACGTAGTTACATCTTCAGTACCGTACAATCCCCCAGTTCGCTTCCTTGCGACACTTCCAGTTACATTTCCGGTTGCATTTCCGGTTGCATTTGCAGTCGCAGTAACAGTTGCATTGCTTTCCGCTGGTTTCGCCTGCAGATTCGATCCGCACGCCACATCACACATGCCAGGAAAATGCTCAGACGATTTTCCCAGGTTCTCCACCAGCGAATCGTCAGGTGAATGCTCAGGGGAATTCTCGGGTGAATCTTCGTCCCCGCCCATTTCCTCCTCGTCAGCATCACTCTCGTCATAGTCACACACAACATAAGGAACACTCCCAGGTCTTGCCTTCGCAAGCGGTAGAAACTTACCACCCCCAGCAGTCTCACACCTTGACCCCACGGCACCCTTTCCCCCGGCGTCCTTTCCCCCAGCGTCCTTTCCCCCGACGCCCTTTCCCCCAGCGTCCTTTCCCCCGACGCCCTTTCCCCCCCCCTCCTTTCCCCCGGCGTCCTTTCCCCCAGCGTCCTTTCCCCCGGCGTCCTTTCCCCCGGCGTCCTTTCCCCCAGCGTCCTTTCCCCCCCGTCCTTTCCCCCGGCGTCCTTTCCCCCCCCGTCCTTTCCCCCGGCGTCCTTTCCCCCCCCGTCCTTTCCCCCGGCGTCCTTTCCCCCCCCGTCCTTTCCCCCGGCGTCCTTTCCCCCCCGTCCTTTCCCCCGGCGTCCTTTCCCCCCCCGTCCTTTCCCCCGGCGTCCTTTCCCCCGGCGTCCTTTCCCCCGGCGTCCTGACACGTCTCTGAACAGCTCACTTGCACTGCAGCGCTCACATCTCTGGTTCTGAGGCGCCTCAAAACGAGACCCTCACGCATCTCTGAGCAGCTTGCTTTCTCTGCAGCTCTCGCCGTGCCTCTCTCTCTGCCCCTCTGCTTCTTCCCTCTCCCCGCCACGTCTGCCGTCAGTGACTTGGCCTTCAGTGCCATTTGATTCGACTCAGAATGACTTCGGAGCCGACTTTTGAGTCCCGGGGACCCCTGAGTCGACTCAAAAGCCACAGTCCTTTGATCTCTGCCCCTCTGCTGCTTCCCTCTCGCTGCCATGTCTGCTGCCAGTGCTTCCCTCTCTGCCTTTCGTCTTGCTCCGCATTTCAACTCCCTCGTTCTCTCTCCGTTTCTCTCTGCCTTAGCTTCTGCCGCTAGAGAACCCTCACGTGCTCGTGTCTCGGCTATATTGGACCGGCTGTTGTCACCTGCTCTCTCGGCCGCAGCTAAAGCAACACATGCTTCCTTTGCTCTGCCCCTTCCATTCATCACTGTCTCAGCAACACCTACGCATAACCTTGCATTAGCTGCCACGTCCTCATTAGTATTACAAAACGCCAAGCCGCCAGACCTGCCTCGAGACGCCGCCGCGTCATCACTCAGTCCCTGGCATGCCACGTCAGCAGCAGGTCCACCTGGCGAGGTGCAGTGGTGAGTCAGCAGCATGAGCGCGCCGGAAACAGCTGCCTGCCGCTCCTCCTCGTCAGGGAAGGTTCCGAGAAGCAGCGTGTGACCAGTCACATCCACCAGCCATGCCCTGAGCCTCCTCCTCTTCCGCTTCCTCCCTGCTGCTGCAGCTGCTGCTGCCGTTGCTGCTGTTGGTGCTGTGGCTGCTTCAGCAGGTAAGACTGCCGTTCCCCCTGCCACCGGTGGCACGACTATAGGCCTCCCTTCTGTCTTGACCGCTGCTGGCGTTTCCGCAGCTGCCGTGGCAGCAGGTCTCAAGGTGCCAACCTCGGCATGCTCGCTAGTGAGGGTGGGATGGCTGTCGGTGGGGCTGGGTAGTTTTGTCAAAACTGGATGGCTGTCGGTGGGGCTGGGTATTCTCATTGCGTCTTCTTTCGTAAGAGGTCCTTCTGTCTTGACTGCTGCTGCTGGCGTTTCTGCAGCTGCCGTGGCAGCAGGACTCAAGGTGCCAACTTTGGCATGCCCGCTAGTGAGGGTGGGATGAAGTGTGTCCGCGGCTATGGATTGAACTGTCAGCGCCGCAACCTCTGGAAGCCTCTCACAGGGTAGCTTTTGAGTCGACTCAGTCGACTCAAAACTTTCACAGGCCACCTCCGAAACACCACGTGGCGCCATGAGGTAAGCTGCATCTGTGCCTGCCTCCGCACCAGCCCTTTCCGCACGTGGACTGGCCCTTCCTTCGGTACCAGCGTTAGCACTATCAGAATCATCGTTAGTAGCAGAAGCAGCAGCAGCAGCAGCAGCAGCAGCAGCCATGTTCTCTCCCAGTGCTGCGCTTATCTTCTCCACTTCCCTCTGCTCCCTTTTCCTCTGCTCCCCTTCCCTTTGCTCCACTTCCCTCTGCTCTTGCTTCTGAGGGGAGCAAGCCCGACACACTCCATTGCATGCCACCAGTAGCTTGGAGCAATGCATTTGTTCTGGAACATGGGTCACTTCACATACAGTCACGCCACTCACAGTCACGCCTGCTTTAGTCATGCTCCCTTCAACAATCATCCCCTCAGTCACACTGCCCTCGTTCCCACCCTCTCCTATCACGCCCTCTATAATCACTTCCACTTCCACCACACCCCCTTCCACCACGCCCCCTTGAGTCACTTTCACTTCAGTCACGCCCCCTTCAGTCATTTCCACTTCAGTCACACCCCCTTCAGCAGCTGCTGCGTGCAGTACTGCCTGTGGTGGTGCTGTTGCTGCCACACCTCCTTCCGCCTCGGCCCCTTCAGCCACACCTGCATCGCCCAGCTGGCCTGAAAATGGACCGGGGAGGCTGTTGGCAGCAGCTGCTGCTTTCTGTGGCGGTGGTGCTTGCAGCAGTGATGCTGCTTCCCGTGGTGGTGGTGGCCCCGCTGTCCCACCACCCCCTTCAGTCACACCCCTCTCGGCCGCACCCCCACCAGTCACACCTGCATCACCCTTATAGCTCGTAGCTGGAGCAGGGGGGGCGTTGGCAGCAGCAGCAGCAGCAGCTGCTGCAGCACCTGCTGCTACTCTCTGTGGTATTGGTGCTGCGTCTGGTGGTGGTGATGCTGCTGCTGCCACGCCCCCTTCATCCACACCTGCATCACCCCCAGTTGGAGCAGGGAGGATGCTAGCAGCAACTGCTGCTGCTGCTGCTGCTGCTGCTGCTGCTGCTGCTGCTGCCTGTGGTTTTCCTTGTGCTGCTCCCAGTGCTGCTTTCGGTGCTGTTTGTAGTGCTTGTGGTGGTGCTGCTGCCGCTGCCATACCCCCATCAGCCACACCTCCATCAACCCGATCACTCACAACTGCAGCTGCGAGGCTGTTGGCCACTGCTGCTGCTGCTGCTGCTGCTGCTGCTTGTGGTGACGGTGATCGTGCTGCTGCCTGCGGTGGTGGTGGCGCCAGTGATGATGGTTCTGGCGCGGTTTGTGCTTGTGATGCTGCTGCCACACCCCGTACTGCCACACCCCGTACTGCCACACCCTGTACTGTCACACCCCCTTCACCAGCACCTGTATCATCCCGTTGAGCTATGATGGGAGCAGGTTGCTTCTTAGTGGCTGCTGCTGCTACCATTTGTGGTGGTGGTGGTGGTGGTGATGGTGCTGCTGCTGCTGCTACTGTTTCTGGTGGTGGTGATGGTGGTGCTGCTGCTGATGCCGCTTGTGGTGGTGATGCTGCTGCTGCTGCTACTGTTCGTGGTGATGGTGATGCTGCTGCTGCTGCCTTTTGTGGTGGTGCTCCTGTGGACAATGCTGCTGCTGCAGTTAAAGCCCCAGCCGTTGCTGCTGCAGTTAAAGCCCCAGCCGTTGCTGCTTCTGCTGTTGATTCTCCCACGGTTGCTGCTGCTGCTGTCGGCATTCCCACGACAGCAGCAACAGTGTCTGCCTCTACAATTACAGCACCAGGGGAAGCAACATCTGAGAGGCTCGGGTGCACCTGCCCCTGCTCCTCCTTTTGAGGCGCTTCAGAACCAGTAATCTCATCACCAGGGGAAGAAACAGGTGGAATGCACGGCTGCACCTGCCCCTTCTCCCCACTTTGAGCCGCCACAGAACTAGCCAAGGCACCAGGGGAAGCAACATCTGGAGGGTTCTGCTGCTCCCTGTGCCGCTCCCTCTGCTCCTCCCTTTGCTCCTCCACTCCTTCCTCCTGCTTTTCCTTCCCCTCCGCCTTCCACTTTTCCTTCCGCTCCTCCTTCTGCTCCTTCTGCTCCTTCTTTTCCCTCTCCTCCTTCTGCGACTCCCACTCCTCCCTCTGCTCCTTCTGCTCCCCTCTTTGCTCCACATTTTTCTCTTCCCTCTGCTGCTCCTTCTGCTGCTCTCCTTCCTCCTCCCTTCGCTCACCTCCTTGCTCCCCCCCCTGCCACTCCATTCTCTCTCTTCCCTTCTCTGCTCTTCTCTCCTCCTCCCGACCTTCTGCCCTCTCCCCTCTCTGCTCTACCCCTTGCTTGTTGCCAACTAATTGACCCACACTCACACTTTTCGGACACGGGTGACCTTGCGCCTCAGACCTTTCCAAGTGACCTTGCGCCTCAGACCTTTCCAAGTGACCGGTACTTTCGGCACACTCGTTACGCACACGCTTCCCCTCCTCCCCACTCTCAACCCCTAACCCCTGAAGTTGAATATGAGAAACCTTAGTCTCCGTCTCCTGTCTCTCCTGCATCCTCGCATTCCTCCCTCCCCCCTCCTCCCATTCCCTCGTCTTTTCTCCCCCCTCCTCCCATTCCCTCGTCTTTTCTCCCGCCTCCTCCCACTCCCTTGACTTCCTTTTCCCCCGTGCCGCCCCTCTTCCACCTTTCTCACTCCCTTCTCTACCCTGGTCTTCCTGGCCGCCCTCACTCCCCCCTTCCTCCTCCCTCCTTTCCTCCTCCTCCCCCTCCTCTTCTTCCTCCTCCTCCCCCTCCTCCTCCTCCTCCTCCTCCTCCTCCTCCTCCTCCTCCTCCTCCTCCTCCTCCTCCTCCTCATCCTCCTCCTCCTCTTCTTCGTCCTCCTTTTCCTCCTCATCCTCCTCCTCCTCTTCTTCGTCCTCCTCTTCCTCCTCTGCATCTTCTTCTTCCTCCTTCTCCTCCTCCTCTTTTTCCTCCTTATCTTCTTCTCCCTCCCCCTCCTCACACTCCATCCCTCCTCCTGCCACCAAACCAGCAACACTCCTTCGTGCGACACTCCCCTTTGCTCTTACTGCTACAGACCCCTTATCCTTTTCTGCCACTGACCCTTCTCCTCTTACTCCTACGGACCCCTTTCCGCGTACTGCTGCTGGTGCCTTGCCCCTTCCAGCTACCGACGCCTTTCTTGCTTCTGACGTTGAAGTACCCGCACCTCTTGCGGCTGTCCCTCCCTCTGCTCCTGACCTTTCCCTCGTGTTTGAAACATCTGCCACATTCCCTCCTCCCATCTCCCTAGTTTTGAGGCGTGTCACAACTGCCTCCCTCTCAATTGCTCCTGTGCTTGGCTTCTTGCCTGCCTTCGTGTCTGGCAGTGGCACATTCCCTCCCCTCCTCTCCTCCTGGCAATTACCTCCCCTCGTGGCAATTGCTTCCCTCCCATTTGCTCCTGTGCTTGGCTTCTTGCCTGCCGTCGTGTCTGCCTTCTTGCCTGCCTTCGTATCTGGCACTGGCACATTCACTCCCCTCCTCTCTCTTGGAGACCTTCGAGGCAACTCAAAAGTCACCTTCGTTTCAGGCACATTCGTATCTGGAACATCCCCTCCTCCCCTCTCCCTTCCCCTAAGTCGCCCCGCCCATCCATCTCCAATGCTCCTCTCCCCATTCTCATTCCCCTCCACCTCCTCCTCCCTCTTCCCTTTCCGCGCCCACTTGCCTTTCCCGCCGTTCCCCTTCCCTTTCCATTTCCCCTTCCCCTTCCCCTCAAATTTCTTTCCCCAACGGCCCTTCCCCCAACTCCCCTTTCCCACATTCCCCTTGCCCCCATTCCCCTTGCCCTTGCCCTTCCCCTTATAATTGTTCCGCCACCAGATCACCCGCTTCCCCACTGCTGACGTGGCACTCAGCAGCTCCCTCACACTCCTCTCTCTCGGCCGCTTCCTCCTCACTCCCTCCCCCGCCACCCATCCCTCCTCCTCCTCAGGTCCGTCCAAAACTCGCCACCACCAAGGGGAATCGTCTTCTTCCTCCCGCTGCCTCTTCCTTGCCGCATTGCCATCCCCGCCCTCCCCTTCCGCCTCTTTCTCTTCCTCCCGTTTCTCCCCCTGCTCTTTCTCCTCCCCCGGTTTCTCCTCCTCCTCCTTCCCTTCCTCCTGCTTCTCTTCTCCCTTAACTGCCTCTCCCTTCTTGTCCGCCCCCTCTTCCCCCTCTACCTCTTCCCCCTCTACCTCTTCCCCCTCTACCTCTTCCCCCTCCTGCTCTTTCTCCCTCATCGCACATTCCTCCCCTTTCTCCGCAACCTCCTCTCCCTCCCGCTTCTCCTTTACTCTCTTGACTTTTTCTTCTTTGGCTTCGTCCGCTGCTGCCTCCTCCCCTTTCTCCTCTGCCTTCCCATCCTGCTTCTTCTTCTCCAACCCACACACTTGCGGCTTCTTCCCTTTCTTCTCTTGTCTCTCACAGGCCGAAACGCCACCCTGTCCTTCACTCGTTGGACTCCTCACCTCCTCAGCACCATCCTTCTCGTCTTCCTCCTCTCCTTCCTCTTCCTTCTCCTCCTCTTTCCCCTCTCCTCCTTCCTCTTCCGCTCCTCCCTTCAACACGCACTCTTGCTGCTTCGCACGTCTCTCATGTCCCTCACCTTCTGAAACAGCAACGCCCGCTCCTTCTCTCACTCTGCTCTTCAGCTCCTCTGCACCATTCTCTACCCCGAGACCGCCACCACTCCCTCTATCACTGCCGCTTAGCTGAGTGCGAACACTTTCAGCCAAACAGGCTCGTATATGAGTGCTAACAATTCCAACCTGACTGGCTCTTAGCTGAGCAACAACCTCCTCCACACTCCTACGCCTTCTCACCTTCCTTGCTGTCCCAGCCTCAACCATCCATTTTTGAGGCGCCTCAAAAATAGCCTCAACCATCCCAGTCCTCTCTCCAATCTCCTCCCCTACCCCATCCAATCCAACCCCCTCAACCATACCCCCCCCAGTGACTGCCAGTAGATTCAGCTGCTGGCTGGTAACCCAATCTGCTAACCCCGAGTTCACTAGTAACCTTTCAGGCCTATTATTCGCATACTTGCCCTTCCGCTTCTTCTCTCCTCTCTTCGCCCCCGTCCGTTCCCCTACCTTCTCCTTCTCCTCCCCCACTTCCTCACCCTTCTCCTCCTTCCCCTCTTCCTTCCCCATACCTCCCTCCCTCGTCCTTCTCTCCCCCATCGGCTTCCACCAGCTTGCAGTCAAGCTTGTATACCCATTAAAGCTTGTATACCCATTCAAGTTTGTATACAAGCCATGCCCCTCGAGGTCCTCTTTGAACGGGTATACAGTGTCGGATTTGATCTCTTTGGCGGAAGCGGAAGCGGGAACAGGGGGATCGGCGGAAGCGGAGGCGGGGCAACGGGGAGGAACGGCGGAAGGAGGGGTCGGAAGGTCCGCCAGGTGCGCAGAAGCGGCAGAAGCGGGAGTGTCGGGGAGAAAAACGTGAGCGCCGGCTTGCAGTCGCTGGAATAACGCTTTCGCGAACGCCAGCTGCGACTGCTGCGACTGCTGCGGCGTCTCCTGCGACTCCTGCGACTGGTCATGCGGCGACGGTGGCTGCAAAGTCACTGTATTTTTTTCTGGAGATGAGGTCAAAATGTTCCTTGCTACACGTTGTAGCGGACCAGCTCTTGGCGATTCATCGCAAATGTCCGCCATTGGGCCAGAGAACTTGGAAAAGCGGGATACGATCTAAATTTTAGTTCCATTACCAGCAGCTGCCAGGCTGGCTGAAATATCTAGAAGCTCCTGACATGCTTCCCCGAACAAGCGCCAAATTCAATGGTACCTAAGGCTGGCTAGGAAGTCAACCATGCTTCCCCGAGCGGTGGTGCTTTGGGTTGAATGGATGGATGAACCATGTTCCGTGCAGGTGCTCGGCAAAATCGAGGGGCGTAAAGACTAATGCGGTATTGAATGCCCCGGTGCTAAAGGTGCAGTAGAGATTAAGCCGCTTAATTGCTGTGCTATACAGCAACTCAACCAGACCACAAAAAAATCACCCACCTACTATTATACAAATGTTTCAACCTACGCATCAGCTTTAGCAGTTCGTTCCCTGCACTACCTTATGTGTCATTGCCGCTGTTTCTGTTTGCTGTTCCTTGTGTTTCTTCCATCCTGTTATAAATCTCCATAATAGATTGCTTATACAGTATGTGTTAGAAAGAGAGAATGAATGGACTAGTGTGAGAAACCTAGAACATGTACTTGTTGGGGTTGTACTCACTAGAAGCACACACCTAGGCTAGCCTATAACTTATACATACAGCATATGTATAAGTTGACACACCCCCTAGGCTAGAGAAGAAGTGGTGCTAAGCAAGAAGCACACATCTCAGGGTGGCACTACTAGTCCAACCACTGAGGCAGGGGTCCAAAGACCAGTCAGCAAGAGTACAGACAAGACAAAAGCAAGCCAAGGCGGCACTACTAGTCCAGCCATTGGAGGTAAGGCCACAAGGCCAGTCAGACAGGTATATATAATAGAGAGTACACAATCAGGGTCCTAACATGTGAGTAGCTACAGGAACAAGACCAAGCTGTACATAGTGCCGCTGATGATCTTTAGGCGCAAGCGCCTTAGTAAAGACATCAGCTGTGTTGGCACTTGAGGCTAAGTGAACTACGCGGGCCTGGCAACACTGCTGTAGCTCGCGCAGGAGGACGTACCGCAGCTGGATATGCTTCGCTCTGCCCTCAAGTCGAGGCTCCTGACACAGGAGAATCATGGCCCTGTTGTCAGCGTACAGGACCGGGGCAGAGCTAGGCCGCTCACCTAAGTCTGTAAGCGGAGCTCCTGTGCCGCCATGGCACCAGCGTAGATCTCAGCCTCACAGCTGGACTGAGCAACAGACGACGAGCGAGTGGATCTCCAAGAGATAGCACCCGAACCAAGGCTAAAACAGTAGCCCTGCGACGACCTGAGTGTCTCAGAGTCGTCTGCCCAAGAAGCGTCTGTGTACCCAGTGAGGACCACTGGCCTGCGTCCTCCTAGCACTAACCCCATGCCTCATGTACTTGCTAGATATCGCAAAACCCTCTTAGTGGCCGACCAGTGCTGTGGTCGGTGTCTGCCAGTGGCCACAAAGCAAGCCAGGATGCTGAGAGGGTATGCGAGATGTGGGCGAGTGCAATTCATCAGGTACATGAGGCAACCCACCAGCTCTGCGTAAGGGCCGCTGGGCTCTACTGGCTACTCAGGAACGGGAGCGGAGAGCCCATGGTCTAGAGGTAGAGGTGTGGGCTGTGCGGAGGAGAACTGAAGACCGAACCTCTTAAGGACCTGACGCACCAAGTGTGACTGTGTCAGAGTGATGGTGCGTGCTGCTTTGTCCCTACAGATCTGCAGGCCAAGATAACGACGCAGCTCTCCAAGGTCAGTGCAGGTGTGTCTCTTAAGCAGCTCGGCCTTCACGGAGGCCAGTGCGTCCCTGTCAGGAGTAGCGAAGACCAGGTCGTCTATGTAGACAAGGATGTAGAACGGAGTCTGGCCGGAACGCACAAACAGCGAGGGGTCAGCAGAGGACTGAAAGAACTGCAGGTCTGCTAGCGTGGCACGCAGCGTGTCGTGCCACTCGCGGGGAGCCTGGCGCAGGCCGTAGACCGGGCGCCTGAGAAGCCATTGGGTCCTAGGGGGGAAGGTACCAGTGAAGCCCTGTGGTCGGTGCAGGTAGACCTGCTCGTGTAGGCTGCCCTAAAGAAAGGCAGTAGAGAAGTCGAGGGAGTGAAGCTCGTAGTCGCGCTGTGGTGCTACGTGTAGCAGCGCCCGAAGAGTGGTCATCTTCGGGGTCGGGGCGAAGGTTTGGAAGAAGGTCTGGAAGAAGTCAACCCCCTCGCGCTGGCTGAAGCCTCTGGCCATGTAGCGCGCCTTGAAGACATGTGGCTCTCCAGGAGGGCGCTTCACCTTGAAGAGCCACCGACCATCGACTACGTTCACCCCAGGAGGGGGAAATGCGTCAACGGAAGTGCCGGTGGACCTCCAAGATGCCATCTCCTGCTCCATGGCAGCTATCCACTGAGAGGCCCAAGGTCCCGAGGTGGCCTCAGCGTAAGTGCGAGGGGTCGGGATGTCGAAGACGTCTGGGTCACCCTCTGGGACTAGGAGCATGGAGCAGAGATGGGGAGCGGCATCGGAAAGGAAAGCAAGCTCGTACTGCCTATCCTCTAGAACGTCACTGCCAAGGGCAGGTGCACCCCCGACGGACGGAGGATGGGCAGGGTCAGAGACCAGAGCGGTAGCGTAGTCAAGGCGGCGGGTAGAGGCGAAGTCAGCGACAGCCGCGACAAGCGCGTCAAGGCGCGAGACAGGAACAGACGGGTCTGTAACAAGAGAGGCAAGAACCCTAGGGACAAGGGGACGAGCGGCACGGAGGTAGTCATACAGCGGGGGAGGTGCAATAACAAGCGACGAGGGAGGAGGCGACAGGAGGAGGGGAGGACGAGACGAGCGGGAACGGAGCAACATAGGGTGGGAGCGCAGGACAGGAGAGACGGGACGAGCACAGGAGGGACGGCGAGACCAAACGTGGGAAGGAGGTGTAGGGTCAGGAGACAGCAGAGGGGACACAAAAGGGGAACGAGGAGGAAGACGGGTCAGAGACGAGTCCGGAGGTGGGAACACAGGGCCGGAGACAGGAAGGTGAGAAGGTGGTGGGGGAGACATCGGCGAGCGGTCGGGGGAGGGAAGGCCGAGCAGGCAAAGAGCGGAGACTGGCGGCAACGGCTACGGCAGCTGCTGCGGCGGCTGGTGCTCGACCCGCGGACCGGCAGGGGCACGACGGCCGCTGGGAGAACACTCAATAGCAGCATTCCCAGATTCAACACCCCTAGAGCGAGAACCCCCTCCAGCACCGGCGGCATCCCCAGGCCTGCCGGGATAGACCACGCCAGGGGCCGCAGGACGAACACCCTCCTCAACGCCAGCACTCCCAGAGGCCAAGAGCGGCAGCGGCGGCGACGTCGGCGGCGGCGGCTGCGACAGTGGAGGCGGAGACACCGGGGAAGGGGGACGCGGCAAGGACGGGCCGGGGGGACCACGAGAGTCAGCAGACTCCTCAACAGGGACAGCCAACGGGAGGGGAGTGACATGGGAGACACCATACGGGGCAGGACGAGGCGGGAGGGGAGCAGGGGCTACCAGGAGAGAGGGAGCCAGGAACAAGGGGGGGGGGAACCGGGAGACCTCGGTGAGGGAAGCGGCGGTAGAAGGAGACAGACTCGTCAAAGGTGACGTCACGAGAGTGAAGGAAACGGTGAGACAGCGGGTGGTAGAACAGCCAGTCAGACGAGTCCAGGGGGAAACCGAGGAAGACACAGGGGACAGTGCGGGCAGTGAGCTTGTCCGTGCCAGAGGCACGAACGTGAGCAAGGCAGCCCCAGACGTGGAACGCAGACGCGTCACCGGGAGACCCGGTCCAAAGGAGGGTCGGCGAAACCCGCGGCCGCTGGGAGCGTGGCCACAAGTTAAGCTGGTGAGCAGCGTAGCGGACAGCGAACGGCCACAGAAAATGGGGGGCATCGGCATGAATCATGGAGGTACGAGCAACCTCCATGACCAAGCCGATGCGGCGCTCAGCAACCCCATTCTGCTGTGGCGAGTCCGGCAAGATGTACGACTGGGTGATGCCCTCCGCACGACAGAACTGTCCAAGCCGACCAGAGGCGAACTCGCCGCCACGGTCAGAGTGGAGACACAACACGGGGAGACCGCGGTGAAGACGCGCAGCTACTACCCACAGGAGAAGAACGTCGGGCACGTCGGCCTTCCGCTCCAGGGGAAACACCGTGTTTTAGCGCGTGTAGTTGTCGACGAGCACAAGGAAATAGCGCTCACCACGCGGTCCGGGGACGGGGGCAGGGCCCCAAACGTCCAGGTGCAAGGTCTGAAGGGGAGCAGTAGCAGTGCGCAGCGAGGAGGAGTGAGGGGAGCGGCGGAGCCGGCCCTCGACGCAAGGCGTGCACGGTGGCGCAGTCGAGGGAGGAAGGGCAGGGGGCGACGCAAGGAGACCTAAGACAAGACCGTGCTGGGACATGTGATGCAGAGAAGGGTGACCTAGGCGGTAGTGCCAGAGAAGGGACGGGTGAGTGAGGGACTGACACGAGCTAGCTGCAGTGACCTGGGAGGACGCACCAACCGGGGGGGAAGCGGTGTCGAGGGTAAACAGACCGAACATCGGGTCCCGGGGGAACGTCGCAAGGGGGGAACCTGAGACTGCCTCGGTACAGACAGCGAACCGCCCGTGCCCAGGGAACGTAGTGGTGACGCCGAGGTCCTGAAGACGGCCGACACCAACCAGGTTCCTGGAGAACGAGGGAATGTGGAGGCCTGTAAGTGAGCCCGAGGGAACGGCTGGAGAGGGAAGGGAAGTGGAGCTGCGAGCGACGACAGGACCCGCGGAGGGGTCAGCGAGAGCGACAACAGCAGGCGCAGCAAGCGGCGTGAGCGTGGAGCGGTCGCGGAAGAAACAGGCAGAAGCACCGGAGTCGAGAGTGAAGGACAGCGAGGCAGTAGCAGAGGCCGGGAACGGAGCCGGTGCAGAAACTAGGCTAGGCAAACTAGGCAGTCCTACGCCTGACGCAGCAGGGGAGGCTAAGCTACACAAGGGTGCTACGCTTAAACTAGAGTACACATGGTAATAAGATCCAGCAACACTAGAAGCGTCAGTATACAAGGCATGCAAAGGAGCACCTATCTGATCCATATCTAAATCAAAGATCGGCACGCTCTGGCGAAGTAGGCTGTGCCAGTCAGGGAGGTCCGTGGCCGAGCCAAAGCGACGACGAAAGAGATCGTCGAGGCGGCGGAAACAGTGGGCGGTCGGGTGCGGGCGGCGGCACAGAGTGCCGCGGAGAGGCCCGGTCTCAAGCTGGTACTGGCAGGTCACACCAACGGAGCTGCCGGTAGACGCCAAGCTGCGCGGGCCGCCACCACGGCCACCACCTACGGAGGTGCCGGGCCAACCCGGGGGGAGGCGAGCCCACGGCTGGGGTTGGGACAGCTGCTGCGACAACTGCGACTGCTGCGACGGTTGCTCCTGCTGCTGGGGCGACGGCTGCTGCTCCTGACTAGCTGAGGCAGTCCCCTCAGTAGAACCACTGTCCCCGGTACCACCACTACTACAACCAGCTCCACCACCACGCCCTCACTGGCGGTCACGACCGGCGCGGCGCGAGCGCTGCTGCGAGTTTACCGCAGATGCAGTCTCGGTCAGAGGGGTCGCAGTGGCGACCGCAGCCGAAACGTCAGTAAATGTGCACTGGGAGGGGGCACAGCCGTGAAAGATAGAGACTGCCGGCGCACCGCTCGACTGAGCGATAGTGCGCTGGCGAGTCTCGATCTCGGTCAGGGCGGTGACAAAGGCTGGCAGGGTGAGATCACCCGGGTGCTGGCTAAGGATGTGGTCGCGTGCACTAGCAAGGCGGTCAGGCAGGCGCATGGCGATAAAGTAGAGGGTCATGCAGAAGGGGGGAGGGAGCGCAGTGAGCTGGGTATGGTATCACGAGGGCGGCTAGGGCCTAGGGCGGAAGCGTGGGCGGGCGAGAGGAACCGAACCTACTCATGATACCATGTTAGAAAGAGAGAATTAATGGACTAGTGTGAGAAACCTAGAACATGTACCTGTTGGGGTTGTACTCACTAGAAGCACACCTAGGCTAGCCTATAACTTCTACATACAGCATATGTATAAGTTGACAGTATGTACATGATCAGCAAGAGCCAACGAGCCTTACAAAAGAAGCGGAGTAAGCGCAAATACAATTGATCTAAAAACTGAGCTTACTATGCGCAACAAGAGGTTGCGTCTATTTTTCACTCTTGAACACATTGTAATTAATGCTACCACTATGTCAAAATAGAGTAATCTATAGTGTACGAAAGACCAGACACCTTCTAGCCTGCACGGCATTGTAAGGGCAAAGCAACAAGCAGTGTATAACAAACTTTTCGTTAGTGGTGTATCAAAAGCGATAACGAAGGTGGGTGTAACAAAGGAAGCATGGAGGAGGAATGAACATTCGAGACAACATGGTGGGCATAAGCAGGTAGAAAAGCAGAGCACACGAATGGAGGGCGACAAACAGGAAAGAGCAGCAAATGAACAGAACAATGATTTCACACTGAACAGAATGAGAAAAAGGACCACGGGGAGAGTGGGAAAAAATAAATTACCGGGAAAAATGACGACAAGGAGAGTGGGAGGACTGACCTCAGGAAACTGGGTGTTGCCTAGTTTTGAGGCGCCTCAAAAACCGCGTGATAGGAGTCTAGTTTTGAGGCGCCTCAAAAACCGCATGATAGAAGTCTAGTTTTGAGGCACCTCAAAAACCGCGTGATAGGAGTCTAGTTTTTAGGCGCCTCAAAAACCGCGTGATAGAAGTCTAGTTTTTAGGGCACGTCCCGTGCGTACGTTTGATTGCGGCTGGGAGAGATGCTTTTCGATTCAGTAAGTTAAAACAATGATCAGAAACGGTTAAGTGGGGTATTGAGAGAAAATTGTACGCGCGGGACACGCCTTGAGGCGCCTCAAAAACTGCATGATAGGAGTCTAGTTTTGAGGCGCCTCAAAACTAGACGACGCCGAGGAGAGTGGGAAGACTGACCTCAGGGATTGGGTGTTGCCGTCGTTCGGGGATAGTCTTTGAGAGGTAAGATAACAGATAAGGAAAAAGGACGACGAGGAGAGGAATGGGAGGACCAACCTCAGGGAACTGGGCGTTGCCCTCTTTCGGAGGTAGCCTTTGAGAAATGCCCATCAAGGAAGGTGGGAAAAAATAAATTACTGGGAAAAATGACGACAAGGGAGTGGGAGGACAGACCTCAGGGAACTGGGTGTTGCCGTCTTTCGGGGATAGCCGCACCATGCCCTTGGGCCCGCTGCCAATCTTGATGGTTAATTGAGAGAAATGCACCGTGAAGCACGCACCGCTGTAGATCTGACAAGCAGAGGGGGTGGGAGGGGTGGGGTGCGGTGGGGGGGAGATTGAGTGTTGCCACCTCTAGGGGATAGCCGCACCATGCCCTTGGGCCCGCTGCGTATCTTGATGATCGTTTGAAAAAAATGCACCATGAAGCAAACGATGATGCACCGCTGTAGCTCTGAGGAGCAAGACGGGAGGGGTGGGGGAGAGAGAAGGAATTGTACTGGCAACTGTACTGGCAACTGTACTAGCAACTGTACTGGCAACTGTACTGTACTGGCAACTGTACTGGCAACTGTACTGGCAACTGTACTGTACTGGCAACTGTACTGGCAACTGTAACCTGGTTACCTGGGAGAAATGCACCACTGTAGATCTGATGATCACCAGGGGGAGGGTGGGGGGAGGGGGTGGGGGGGTGGGGAGAGAGAAGGAAGGGAGCAGGAGGAGGAAGAGGGGGCAGGGAAGATGAATGGGAGAAATGCACTGCAGTGTGCCCTGCAGGCCCAGCATGGCGCACACACATCCAGCCTGCCTGTTCAAATGTGTGCCCGAGTGTGTGATTCACACTCACAAGAATGCATTTCAGGTTTTGAGGAGCCTCAAAACTATGCGTTTCAGGTTGTAGGTGGTGGTGGGGGGGCGTATGGAGGGGCATGGCAGTATGGCTGGCTGGCTGGCTGGCTGTATGAGAGTGTGTGCATGGTTGGTTGAGTGCGTGCCAATGATTCGCTCATATCACGCATACTAACCGGGATGCGCTCCAGGTTGTGGGCAGTGGTGGCAAGGCGGATGGCAGGGCAGGGCAAAATGCCTGGTTGCATGCGAGTGTATGTCTAAAAATGACACTGTATGTGCCAGAGGGATTCATACTGGGATTCATACTGGGATTCACGCTGGGATTCACACTGCGATTCACACTAAACTGGGATTCACACTGCGATTCACACTAAACTGGGATTCACACTGCGATCCACACTAAACTGGGATTCACACTAAACTGGGATTCACACTAAACTGGGATTCACACTAAACTGGGATTCACACTAAACTGGGATTCACACTAAACTGGGATTCACACTAAACTGGGATTCACACTAAACTGGGATTCACACTGGGATTCACTTCACACTCACAGGGAAGCGCTTCAGGTTGTAGGTGGTTGTGGCAAGGCGGATGGCAGGGCAGGGCAGTATGTTGGGAGTCCCTGGGTTGAATTTGGAGGAAGGAGGCACGACCATGAATGCTGGGCACTTGCGGATTTTCATCTGCAATAGGTGAGGAGGGGAGAAATGTGGAAGAGCATGATTGGATGGCAGGGCACGGCAGTTTGTTGGGAGTTTCTGAGTTGGAGAGAAGAGGAGAGGAGAGGAGAGGAGAGGAGAGGAGAGGAGAGGAGAGGAGAGGAGAGGAGAGGAGGGGAGAGGAGAGGAGAGGAGAGGAGAGGAGAGGAGAGGAGAGGAGAGGAAAGGAGAGGAGAGGAGAGGAGAGGAGAGGAGAGGACAGGAGGGGGAGGAAAGGAGAGGAGAGGAGAGGAGAGGAGAGGAGAGGAGAGGAGAGGAGAGGAGAGGAGAGGAGAGGAGAGGACAGGAGGTGAGAGGAAAGGAGAGGAGAGGAGGGGAGAGGAGAGGAGGGGAGGGGAGGGGAGAGGAGAGGAGAGGACAGGAGGGGGGAGGAAAGGAGAGGAGAGGAGAGGAGAGGAGAGGAGAGGAGAGGAGAGGAAAGGAGAGGAGAGGAGAGGAGAGGAGAGGAGAGGAGAGGAGAGGAGAGGAGAGGACAGGACAGGAGGGGAGAGGAGAGGAGAGGAGAGGAGAGGAGAGGAGAGGAGAGGACAGGAGGGGAGAGGAAAGGAGAGGAGAGGAGAGGAGAGAAGAGGAGAGAAGAAAAGAGGAGAGGAGAGGAGAGGGGCCAAGACACTCCGGTGTGGACATGCAGTGAAAGGGGCGTCCAGACTTGATGGAAATAAGGCCTCCGCAGCCCACCTGTAATCCATCCACGACTATTTTCTAGGCGCCTACAAAATAGACTCCTCACGCAGCCCACCTGTAATCCATAAAAAATAGACTCCTCACACAGCCCACCTGTAACCCATCTACGACTCCGGTGTGGACATGCACTGATAGGAGTCTAGTTTTGAGGCCATGCCATGCCATGCCATGCCATGCCATGCCATGCCATGCCAAAACTAGACTCATATCACCTGGTGTGGACATGCGCTGAATTTTTGAGGCGCCTCAAAAATGCGCTGAAAGGGGCGTAGACCCAAAAGCTGCTCGCCCCTTCAGTGATGGGCACAAAAGCTGCTCGCCTCGCATTAATGAAGGAGGAGACATAGCCGTGTCCCATATGGGCACATAGACACTACTAGACACTCCAGTGTGGAGATTCACCAGAAGGCGGAGTAAGGAAGCTGACGGCTTTGCAGTCTGGCCTCAGCTTCCCTTCTCACACTGGCGCCCCTTTCATAAGTAGGTCCAAAGAGGCCTGGACTTAGGATGTGAGAGAGAAGAACCCATGTGTAATGAGTCTATTTTTTAGTCGACTAAAAAAGAGAAGAATCCCAGTGCACAACTCGACTCCAAGGGGCCTCTTGGGTCGACTCAAAGGTCGCATCTTTCATAAAAAGGTCCGAAGAGGCCTGGACTTAGGATGTGAGAAGAACCCCACTACAGAACTCGACTACAAGGGGCCTACACCAAAAGCCACTCCGCTCACATTAAGGAAGCTGACGGCTTTGCAGTCTGGTTTCAGCTTGCCTGCAAGCACCACGCCCATTTCTAAGTAAGTCTAACTGTGAAAGACGACTCACAAAGACCTAGAGACCCAAAAGCCGCTCGCCTCGGCTCACATTAAGGAAGCTGTGACGGCTTTGCAGCCTGGTTTCAGCCTGCCTGCTAGCACCGGCGCTCATACCCTTGTGTTTGCATTTTCGTTTAGACTCAACTCACATTAAGGAAGTTGACGGCTTTGCAGTCTGGTTTCAGCTTGCCTGCTAGCACTGGCGCCCCTTTCCTGCTGCAGGGGAAGAGGGATAAGAGGGAGGGAAGGGGGGGATGGGACGGGGGAGAGGGAGGGAGGGATAGGGATGGGAGGGAAGGGAGAGAGGGATGGGATGGGGGGGATGGGATGGGGGGGATGGGATGGGGGAGATGGGATGGGGGAGATGGGATGGGGGAGAGGGATAGGAAGGTACAGGAAGAGAGGGAGGGATGACTACCGAGAAAGTGCCTTCAGCTTCCCTGCTAGCCTCGGCGCCTCTTTCCTGCTGCAGGGGGAGAAGCAATGCGCGGCTAGTTGGGATGGGAGGGCATTGGACGCGAGGAGTGGGAAGCGAGGGGCGGGAAGCGAGGGGCAGGAGGGATGGGAGGGGAGGGATGGGTGCCTGGCAGCAAGCAAGTAGGCGGGGTACGACAACAAGAACAGCAACGGACGCTGCTATGTGCATGAGCAACATTGGGCAGAGGACATGCGAGAGTGCCAGGAAGCCGTGAGTGAACGGGACGTTGGGAAGCATGGTGCTCTGTGGTGTGAGATAGTGTGGCGTGGTGTGGCGTGGTGTGGCGTGGTGTGGCGTGGTATGGCGTGGAGTGGCGTGGTATGGCGTGGTGTGGCGTGGTGAGGCGTGGTAAATGACACTAATACGTACGTGTGCAGCACGCCTTGGGTGAGCGGGACGTTGAGAACCATGGAGACGAGCAGGTAGGGGGGGGCTGACATTAGAAGCAGCACGCCACACATGTGGTATGGTATGGTATGGTATGGTATGATGTAGGGGGTAGAGGACCTTATTACATACGTGTGCAGCACGCCCTGGGTGAACGGGACGTTGGGTACCATGGAGACGAGCAGGGCGAGTGGCACGAGGCCGAGAGAATTGTTGAAGGCGAAGTCACACTTCTGGTGAGAGAAGGAGAGGGGGGGAGAGGGGGGGGAGTTGGGGGGGTGTGTCAGTGGTGGGAGTGGGAGTGGGGGAAGAAGGGGGTCAGGTCGGATGATCGAGCCCAGTGGAGCACGGCGAGAGGCACGAGGCTGAGTCTGTTGTTGAAAGAGAAGTCGCACTTCTGGTGAGAGGGGGAGAGGGGGAGAGTGGGGTAGGACGGGGGATGGGGTGTGGGGAGATGAGGGGAAGGGAGGGCGGTGAAGGGGGCGTTGGGAAGCAAGACGGCGAGCAGAGAGACTGGCGCGAGGCTGAGAGGATTGTTGAAGGAGAAGAGGTGGAGAGACGGTAAGAGGGTGAGGGGGTGAGAGGGTGAGAGGGTGAGGGGGTGAGAGGGTGAGAGGGTGAGATGGTGAGAGGGTGAGAGGGTGCGAGGGTGAGGGGGTGAGAGGGTGAGAGGATGAGAGGGTGAGAAGGGGGAGAGGCGGGAGAGGGGGGAGAGGGGGGAGAGGGGGGAGAGGGGTGTGGTGAAAATCGAGCGAGGAGAGGCTGAGGGGGGAGGAGCAACTTGTGAGGCGACTCAAAAGTCACCTCGAGCAGGGAAACTGGGGGGAAGTTCATGATTTCGCAGGGAGTCTAGTTTGGGGAGTTTTGGGGAGTTTTGGGGAGTTTTGGGGAATTCTAAAAAACACCACCCTGCAAAAAAGTGCGGAAGTTCAGGCTGTTGATGACGGTACCCTGCCATGCCATGTATCCACCCCCACCATGCACCCCCCATGCACCCACCACTGCCCATGCACCCACCAGGCGAGCCACGAAGCACGACAAAGGCAGCAGCGTAAGCGCGTGAGCCGCGCTCGCCGCTCCCACTGCAGTCGGCCTCTGCACCGCTCTGAAAACCCCTTGAGCCGAACTCAACATTCCTACTGAAGCCGGCCTCTGCACCGCCCCTATTAGCCCGTGAGCCGCACTCGACGCTGGGTTCTGCACCGCCCCTATTAGCCCGTGAGCCGCACTCGACGCTGGGTTCTGCACCGCCCCTATTAGCCCGTGAGCCGCACTCGACGCTGGGTTCTGCACCGCCCCTATTAGCCCGTGAGCCGCACTCGACGCTGGGTTCTGCACCGCCCCTATTAGCCCGTGAGCCGCACTCGACGCTGGGTTCTGCACCGCCCCTATTAGCCCGTGAGCCGCACTTAGCATTGGGCTCTGCACTGCTCCTATTAGCCCCTGAGCCGCACTCAACCCTCGAGCTGAAGCCGGGGAGTGCACTGCGCCCATTAGCCCGTGAGCCGCACTCGACGCTGGGCTCTGCACTGCCCCCAGCAATCCCTGCGCCGCACTTGGCGTTGGGCTCTGCACTGCTCCTATTAGCCCCTGAGCCGCATTCGACGCCCCTATTGGATCAGGGCGCGTGGCACCGACGGGCCGGCAGGAGATTGAGAGAGATGTGGCCACGAAGAGGAGGAGGACGAGGGAAAGGCGGGAGACGAGGGAGAGGAGGGATGGAGGGGAGGGGAAGAAGAGGTGGGAGCGGAGAGAGCGGAGGGATGCTTGAGGATGATTGGGAGTAGTAGAGCGATGGGGATGGGGATGGTGATGTGACCGATGAGACTCCTGCTGACGTGGATGTTGACCTGGCTGCCGCCGTAGATGCTGACGTGGATGTTGTTGGGTATGCTGCTGACGTGGACGCTGACGTGGATGCGAATACGAGCAGCGTGCCTCTCTGTGTCTGCGCCGACTCGTCGTCTCGTCTGTCCGTTGACTCGAGTCAAAGGCCATCTCTGGTGACCGGCGTTGACTCAACTCAAACGCAGCAGCTTGTGACTGTATCGAAGGTTCTTGTTCTTGTGCTTCTAGTGACGGCTCTAGCGGAAGGCCCTCTAACGAGGGTCGCGCTGCGTCAGTCGAGGGACGTGCCGCATCCAGCGACGCCCGGAGCCGAGGCGGCCCGTGGGCAGCTGACGTAGTAGCCGTTGGTTTCAACGCTGTCGCGTAGTTGCTACTTTCTGACCCTAGGCTACGCTGCCGCCGCGTTACACAGTCTTCTAGTGCCGCTGATAGAGCCGGACCGCTATCTGACCTATGCTGGGTTCTGCGCCTCGCCTTAATCTCCTCTGCCGAGCACGCGCCTCCGAGACCCGAACCCATGGCGCCTCGACGTGCAACGGAGGTCGCGAATAAAGACGCGTCAACGTTTCGCGGAGCATGCGGCATCGTCAAACGGTGCTTCGTGCTACGGTGCGAGTCCTTCGTGCTACGGTGCTAGTAATGGCGTTTCCACCGGAGAGGTTTTTAAGTCAATATCACTAGTAAGCAGAGGTTCGCTAGCAGCGAAACGAGCTCTTAGAAGTCGTAGTAGATGTCAATTTACACAGTAGTCCCACTGTCAATTTACTCCACGAACTACCAACAGAAGTCTGTTGTTGAGTCGATGTCGTAGCCGCTTTTGAGTCGACTCAAAAGTTTACTCCTGCAACTACAAACGGACGTCTGTTGTCGAGTCTACTTGTAAACATACTATCGTAGCTGCTGACAACAGGACGGCCACAACTCCTCATATCTCCCCTTCCCTTTTCCACGCTAAATCGGGGTGGAGCTCGAAAGGCGCTCGCTGGATCAAAGAGTCGAACACGAACCATTGCTTTTCTGAGTCTGGCTTTGAGGCGAAGTCAATACAGCATGCTGAAATTCCCCTGCACTCCGAGTCGGACGGAGGCAACGCATTAACTGTACCGTCGCTGCTCCTGTTGGTCAGACGTACTCAATTGTACGGCCACTGGTCTAGAAGATCACGGGAGGGACGATTAGAGAGCCGAGGACCCCTCGTTCAGTTGTGAAGCAGAAGGGAAAGGGTAGAATGTGTGGGGTTGGGTAGGATGCTGGGCAAGAAAGGGCGGTGAGCGCGCACGGGAAGCGGGGGCCGAGCCGAACCGAGCCGAGCCAAATCGAGCCACGCCGAGCCGAGCCGAGCCGAGCCGAGCCAAGCCGACGCGGCGCGTGTAGAATAAAGCCGCGTCCCCAGCCGCGTCACTCCTAATTCGTGGAATAATGCCTAGAAATCGTGGTTTGGTGATTGACAAAGGACAGCGCGGCGAGGGCGGTTTGGGGAAGGACACAAGGAGGAAGGATCTTGGGAGGGAGGGGGAGGGGAGGAGAATGGTAAGGGAGGGGCGTAGCTGGATTTGACTAGAGTGGACTGGAGTGGCTCGGGTGGTAGGATATGGCCGCCGCCACCGCCAACCGACCAGCGCAGGTAAGATCAGGGAGGGGTCCACGCCCTCAAGGGCGTGTTCGAAGGGTACTGCTGATTGCGGTTGGGTAAGGTGCCCTTTGATTCTGAGGGTTAAAAGAGCAGTATTCTGCGGTTGGATAGTGAAAACCTACGGTTCGGAAGGGGAGGGGAGAAAGCAAAGGAAGCAGGAACCGCGCAAAGAAATCCGCGCTATTGCAAGGGAAGAGTGAAACCGAGTGAAACCGAGAAGTGAAACTGTGAAACAGAGTGCTGGGAGAAAAAACCGTCGCCTTTTGCTGACTGGGTGGAGGGGGAGGGGGTTGAGGAAGGGGGGTAGGAATTTAAATTCCCTTGATTGGATGGTGCTGTGTTGTAACTGCGACTGTCAGGAGTGCAGCTGAGAAACTGTAGGCCCACCGACAACCCCCACGAGAGTGTCGGTGACGGTGAGGGAGGTATATCGAAATTGCGTTCCAGGTAACAATTACAATTGCACAGCATGGAATAGCGTGTAACAATCTAATCTGATCTTCAATCTCTTTTTGACTGGTGAGGAAAACTAAAACTACATAGCAAACCCAATGCAGGCGCCACCACATGGAAATGTTGGAATAAGATTTTATCTGCACGACAAGACAACAAATCGGATTCAGGTGGGAGAGTCACTACACTATCAAATTACATGGAGAAGTGGACCAGATAAATATAAGGCCGTGGAGAAGTAGAAACTGGCGCGATGAAATGGGAGGGGAGAGGTGAGGAGGAAGCAGGAGCATAGAGTCCAAAAAATCGAAGGAGGAAAATTACGAACGACGACAGGCAGCTCACCTGTTTGAAAACACCCTCTCCTCTGTCATCGCCTCATAGACTTCCTACTGCCGTTGCCTCGTCACCCTCGTAAAAAAACACCTTCAGCACAGGAGCAGCAGGCACAGCAGCTTTGGGCAGAGCAGCAGGCACAGCAGCTTTGGGCAGAGCGGCAGGCACTGCCACTGCAGCCACTGCTGCCGCTGAAGCCACTGCTGCTGCTGCTGCTGCTGCTGCCACTGAAGCCGCTGCTGCTGCTGCTGCTGCTGCTGCTGCTGCTGCTGCTGCTGCTGCTGCTGCTGCTGCTGCTGCTGCTGCTGCTGCTGCTGCTGCTGCTGCTGCTGCATGGCAAAACATGGTGCCACTACTCCTCGCCCTCCTCCGCATCACCCTCGTCGAAGAACAGCTTCAGCACAGGAGCAACAGGCGCAGAGCGGCAAGCACTACTACTGCTGCCGCTGCAGTGCTACTACTGCCACAACAGCCTACCCCTACCACTACTCCTCGCCCTCCTCTGCATCATCCTCGTCGAAGAACAGCTTCAGCACAGGAGCAACAGGCACAGAGCGGCAAGCACTGCTACTGCTGCCGCTGCACTGCCACAGTTGCCATCGCAACCACTACCCCTACTCCTCCTCGTCCTCCTCCTTGTCCTCCTCCTCGTCACCCTCGTCGAAAAACAGCTTCAGCACTGGAGCAGCAGGCGGCACAGCCAGGGCGTCAGGAACTCTAGGCACAGTGCCAGGTCGAGACGAACCATAAGGACTGGGCAGAGGAGCAGGGTGCGATGCCCCGAAAGGGTTGGGGCGAGAGGCAGGGTGAGATGCCCCAAAACGATGCAACTGAGAAACGTGACGGAATGCACCGAGCCGAGCGGCTGCTTTAGGCGCAGAGACATGCGGAGATGTAGCAGGAGGATTGTACTGGGGAGCTACAGGGACGTGCTGGGGAGCGCTCTCAAAAGCCCCTATAGGCACAGAAGCAGGAGGGGGGGCAGTGAGAGACGGCCTAGAGGAGGCGCTTTGCGCTGCTGCAACTGACACAGACCCATTTGTTGAGGCCTTGACAGTAGGAGGTGCAGGAGCAGTGAGAGATGCCCCAGACGCAGGAGGAGGACGGGCGGGGACATCTTGAGGTGGTCCGAAAGAAGCAGCAAGTGGGACAGAGGGAGAAGGTCCAAAAGCAGCAGGAAGGATGTTTCGAAGTGTCCCGAACGCAGCAGCAGCAGCATCAGGGGCAGTTGCTAACGCCCCGTTTGCTGCCGGAGAAGCAGCAGCAGGAGGTGCGTTGCGCAATGATGCCCCGTCCGCGGCAATAGAAGCAGGGGGCGCCCCGTGCGGCTGCTGCTGCTCCTTTTCCCCACTCAGAAACGCCCCGTCTACTGCCTGAGCAGCAGCAGGAGGGGTTGCCCCGCCTGCTCCCAAGGAAGCGCCGCATGCAGCAGCAGCAGCAGCCTGAGCCATCTGTTCCAGGCGCCTCGTCTCTCTCCGCCTTGCGTTTTGCCTCCATCTCTTGCGTTCCCTCTTGGACAGGTTGGAGATATCCACCCCATCCACGACCGTGCTCGCATACCTGCCGCCCCCCTGCGGATCATCATCATCATCCCCTGCTTCGACAAAATAGCGGCCGGCAACACGGGGTTTTGTGGTCCAACTACCGATATGTTGCCCAGGCCTGCCTTCCCCAGGTCTACCGCCCCCCAGCCTGCCTTCCCCGAGCCTGGCTTCTCCGAGCCTGCCTTCCCCAGAAGTGCCTTCAACTGACCAAGGCTGTGTGGCTAGCAGCACACTGGCGATTCCCCCAGATGTACCTGCCACAAGTCGACCTCCCCCATGTTTACCTTCTCCAAATCCGCCACCCACGGTTACTTCTACCACATTCCCTTCCTTGACCATCCCACCGCTGCCATCCCCTCCCTTCCCATCCTCTCTCTCCCCCTTTCCCCAATCCCCGTCCTTCCTCTCTCCTCCCCCTCCCCATCCTTTCCCCCACCATCCTGTCTGATTCCAGGCTCTGCCGGCTCGACATGTGACACCTTGAGCCTTCTCACAAAGTCTAGGAACGACTTCTTCTTTGGCCATGCGATCTGTGCAGTGGTGCTCCCCTGATTGCCCCCACACTGCTGTGTGCTCTGCGCACCAACGGAGCCTTGCTGCTGCCGCTGCTGCTGCCCGCTCTGCTGCTGCTGCTGCTGCTGCTGCTGCCGCTGCTGCTGCTGCTGCTGCTGCTCGATCTGCTGCACGGGCAGTCCATTCTGCAGGAGGGGGGTTGGCTGCTGCTGCTGCTCTGTGCTTCCTGAAGCAATCCTCTCCTGCCCTTGCTGCTCCTCACTCCGTGCAGCACTGCTTCTCTGCTGCTCCCCGCCCTCTGCAGCTGCAATGACTATCTGCTCCCCGCCCTCTGCACCTGCACCGACTTTCTGCTGCCCGGCCTGTGTAGCTGCGATGTCCGGCTGCTGCCCAGTTCGCACATCAAAGCTGTCCGGCAGCCCTTCGCCCTCTGAGGCTGCTTTGACTGGCAGCCCCGTATCCTCTGCTCCAGTGGTGCCCTGCTGCCCCCCACTCTCTGGAACGGCATGTTGTGCCTCTTTTCCACTCTCTGGAACGGCATGTTGTGCCTCTTTTCCACTCTCTTGAACGGCATGTTGTGCCTCTTTTCCACTCTCTTGAACGGCATGTTGTGCCTCTTTTCCACTCTCTGGAACGGCATGTTGTGCCTCTTTTCCACTCTCTTGAACGGCATGTTGTGCCTCTTTTCCACTCTCTGGAACGGCATGTTGTGCCTCTTTTCCACTCTCTGGAACGGCATGTTGTGCCTCTTTTCCACTCTCTGGAACGGCATGTTGTGCCTCTTTTCCACTCTCTGGAACGGCATGTTGTGCCTCTTTTCCACTCTCTGGAACGGCATGTTGTGCCTCTTTTCCACTCTCTGCAGCAGCTGTGCCTTGCTGCTCCCCACTCTGTGCAGCAGCTGTGCCTTGCTGCTCCCCACTCTCTGCAGCAGCTGTGCCTTGCTGGCCCCCACTCTGTGCAGCAGCTGTTCCTTGCTGCAACGAAGAAACAGGGGGGACGGAAGCCACTGGAAGGGCCGCAGCAGCAGCAGAATCTGGGAGGCCAGGCTCGGCAGCCAAATCTGGGAGGTCAGGCTCGGCAGCCAAATCTGGGAGGTCAGGCTCGGCAGCCGAATCTGGGAGTTCAGGCTCGGCAGGAAGGTCTGGGAGTTCAGGCTCGGCAGCAGGATCAGGGTGTTCAGGCTCGGCAGGAAAATCTGAGTGATCAGGCTCGGCAGCGGAATTTGGAAGTTCAGGCTCAGCAGCTATTTTCCTCCTCTTCTTTCTCCTGTCCTTTTCTGCCTTCTCCTCTCCCCCTGGACTTTCAGAATCAAAGCTTGGAGCGACAGCAGCAGCAGCAGCAACAGCAGCAGCAGCAGCACCCGGAATCACAGGCTCAGCAACCTTCTTCCTCTTCTTACCCTTGCTCTTTGGTGCAGCCGAGGGAGGCATATTGGCATCAGAGGCAGGCGCAGCAGCAGCAACAGCAGCAGCACTCGGAACCTCAGCCTCCACAGGTACCTCCTTCCTTTTCTTACCCTTGCTCTTTGATGCAGCCGAGGTAGGCAGGTCAGCGTCAGAGACAGGCGCAACCGCAGCAGAAGAACTTGCGATTTCGGACTCAGCAGCAGCAGCGGCTTTCCTCTTCTTCTTCTTACCCTTGCTCTTCTGTGCCGAGGCTGCTTCTGCATCTGAGCGGCTCAGGGCAACAGAAGCAGCAGAATCAGGACACTCATTCTCAGCAGCAGACGTCGTCTTCTTCTTCTTCTTACCCTTGCTTTTTAATGCTTGAGCCGGTTCAACAACAGAGGGGCCTGGAGAAGCAGCAGCAGCAGGAGAATCTGGAATTTCAGGTTCAGCGACCACTTTCCTCCTCTTCTTACCCTTGCTCTTCCGTGGTGTCAAGGCCGCTTCTGCATCACCAACAGCAGCAGCAGCAGCAGCAGCAGAATCTGGAACTTCAGGTTCAGCGACCATTTTCCTCTTTTTCTTACCCTTGCTCTTCTGTGGCGCTTCTGCCTCAGCAGCAGCAGCAGCGGCAGCAGCAGCGGCAGCAGCAGCAGCAGCAGCGGCAGCAGCAGCAGCAGCAGCCGCAGCAGCCTTCTTCTTCTTCGTCTTCTTACCCCCACTCTTTGGTGCCAACGTTACTTCCCAACAAGCTATCTCCGCCGTATCCCCCTCCATGTCTCCATTCTCCTCCATCCCCTCTTGCTCGTCTCCCTTGGCCCCTTCCTCTTGTGTCTCCTCCTCTTTTCTCTTCTCCGCCTTTCTCCTTTCCTCTTTCCTCTTCTTTTTTCTCTTCTTCTCTTCCCTCTTCTCCACAGTTCTCCTCTCGTCGCTCTCTTGTGGCTCTTGTATCTCTTCCAACCCCAAGCTACCCACCACCTCTGTCCCTTCGTCCCTTTCCTCCTCCTCTCCCCTACTCTTGACTTTCTTTCCATTCTTCACTCGAGTATCCCTACTTCCTTTCTTCCTCTCCTCTCTACCTTTCGTCCCCTCCCTTTCCCCCTCACCCTCCTCACCCTCCTCACCTCTCCTCGTCACCTTCTCTCCTTCCTTCATCCTTTTATTCCTTCTTCCCTTCTTCCCTCCCTCTCCCCACGTCTCCTCCTCCCTATCCTCCTCCCTATCCTCCTCCCTATCCTCCTCTCTCTCCTCTCTCTCCTCACTCCTCTTCACCTTCTTTCCTCTCGTCATCTCTTTATTCCGTCCCTTCTTTCCTCCCTCTCCTCCCGTCTCCTCCCCCGTTCTCCCCCCCTTGTCCTCCTCAATCTCCTCACCCCTCTTCACTTTTCTCCCTTTCTTCGCCCCTTTAACTCTTCTTCCCGTCTTCCTTCCCTCTCCTGTCCCCTCCTCCCTTTCCTCCTCCCTTTCATCCTCCCTCCCCTCCTCCCTTTCCTTCTCCCTTTCCTCCTCACTCTCCTCGCCTCTCCTCTTAACCCTTTTTCCTGTCGTCGCCCCAATAAATCCTCTCCCCTTCGTCCCCCCCTTTCCACCAGTCTCCTCCTTTTCCTCCTCCCTTTCCTCCTCCTCTTCCTCCTCCTCTTCCTCCTCCCTTTCCTCCTCCTCTTCCTCCTCCTGCACATCCTCCTCTCTTTCCTCTTCCCTTTCCTCCTCACTCTCCTCCTCACTCTGCTCTCCTCCCCTCTTCACCTTTCTCCCTTTCTTCCACCCGTCATTCCTTTGTTTCTTCTTCCCTCTCTTCCCACCTGTCTCCTCCTCCCTATCATCTTCTTTGCTCTCCTCACCTCTCCTCTGCACCTTCTTTCCTTTCTTCGCCCCTTTAAGCCTTCTTCTTCCCATCTTCCATCCCTCTTCTGACTCCTCCTCCCTACCCTCCCTCCTTTCCACTTCCTCCTCCCTTCCCGCCTCCCTTTCCTCTTCCTCCAACCTGTTCTCCTCGCTCTCATCACCTCTCCTCTGCGCCTTCTTTCCTTTCTTCGTTTTTTTACCCTCTCTTCCCTTCTCTTCCACTCCATCCGTCTCCTCTTTCCTTTCCTCCTCACTCTCCTCACCCCTCCTCTCCACCACTACACCCTTCCCTTTATTCCTTCTTCCCTTCTTCCCCTCTCCACCCCTCCCCTCTTCCCTCCCCACTTCCCCCTCCTCTTCCCCCTCCTCTTCCCCCTCCTCCCCAATCTCTTCTCTTTCCTCTCTCTCCTTCTCTCCCTGCCCCTCACACTCCTCCTGCTTCCCCTCCACCTCACTCGCTCCTCTCTCCTCCACACTCTCCTTGTCTCCGTCCACCACACTAGCTTCTCTTTCCTCCTCATCCTCTTCTTCCCTCTCCTCTTCACTCTCCTCCTCACTATCCCCCTTAACTAACTTCAGAATACTTTTCCCTCGGCGCTTACCACCCTTTCTCTTCTTTTCTTCCTCCTCAACCGCCTCTTCTTGCTCCTCCCCATTCTTCTTTTCTCTCTCCTCCCCATTCTCCTCTTCTCTCTCCTCCTCATTCTCCTCTTGCCCCTCCTCATGCTTCTCTTCTCTCTCCTCCCCGCTCTCCTCCTCACTATCCCCATTAAAGAGCTTCAGAACACCTTTCCCTCTGCGCTTCCCAACCTTTCTTTTCTTTACTTCCTCCTCGCCCTCTTCTTCCCTTTCCTCCTCCTCTCTCTCCTCATCCTCCTCTTCTCTCTCCTCTCCACCCTCCTCCTCACTATCCCCATTAAAGAGCTTTAGAATATTCTTCCCTTTGCGCTTCCCACCCTTCCTCTTCTCTTCTTCCTCCTCGCTCTCTTCTCTATCCTCCTCACTCCCCTCCTCTCTCTCCTCCTCGCTCCCATCCTCCCCTTCCTCCTCACTCTCCACCTCATAATCCTCGTCACTCTCCTTCTCACTCTCCTCACTCTCCCCACTTTCCACTTCTTTTTCCTTCTCACTCTCCCCCTCACTCTCCTCCTCCCTTTCCCCTTCTTTCACCTCCTCACTCTCCTTCTCACTCTCCTCCTCACTATCCCCTCCAAAGAACTTCAGAACGTTCCTGCCTCTGCCCTTCCCGCCCTTCTTTTTCTTTCCGTCCTTCTTCCTCCTGCTCCCTCGTTTCTCCCCCGTCCCCTCCTCCTCACTCCCCTCACTCCCCTCACTCTCCTCCCTCTCCCGCCTTGCCCTTTTCTTCTTGCCTCCCCTCTCCTCCTCCCCCCACTCCTCCTCCTCCTCCTCCTCCTCCTCGTCCTCCTCCTCTTCCCAGTACCGTTTCTTCCTCTTCCTCAACCCCTCCTTCGCACTCCCCTCTTCTGCCTTCCTACGGTGCCACAGCCTGCAGCTATTGCCAGAAGCGCAATCCCCTTTAGAAGCATACTCGGGACACTCGTAGGTGTGCTGCTGCGTGCATGCGAGCCCCTTCTCGCAGTAACCTTTAAGGAAGGCAGAGCAGACGGGGATACCAGCTGGTAGCTTCACATGGCGATACAAGCAATGCTTGTTGGTGCAAGTGCCTGTAAGGAAGGCAAATGACAGAAGAGAAGCTTTGAGTGGGAAAGGAGGGTACCGCAGAGCACACAGGCGCGTCAGGAGCAACCTTCATGTGGCGATACAGGCAAGCAAGGCTTGTTGGTGCAAGTGCCTGGTGGGGGGGTGAGAGAGCCAAGGCATAAGCGGTAAGAGGTAGGTTAAAAGCCATGGCACACAGCGGCACCTGCTGATAGCTTCACGTGGTGATACAGGCACGGCTTGTTGGTGCAAGTGCCTGCCTGGTGGGGGGGCGAAAGATGATAGGAGAAAGAGAGTGAGCGAGACACGAGAAGGCAGAGCAGATGGAGTCTATTTTTGAGGCGCCTCAAAAATCGACTCCTCACACGAGAAGGCAGAGCAGATGGAGTCCATTTTTTAGGCACCTCAAAAATAGACTCCTCACACGAGAAGGCAGAGCAGATGGAGTCCATTTTTGAGGCGCCTCAAAAATAGACTCCTCACATGAGAAGGCAGAGCAGATGGAGTCTATTTTTTAGGCACCTCAAAAATAGACTCCTCACATGAGAAGGCAGGGCAGATGGAGTCCATTTTTGAGGCGCCTCAAAAATAGACTCCTCACACGAGAAGGCAGAGCAGATGGAGTCCATTTTTGAGGCGCCTCAAAAATAGACTCCTCACACGAGAAGGCAGAGCACATGGAGTCCATTTTTTAGGCGCCTAAAAAATAGACTCCTCACACGAGAAGGCAGAGCAGATGGAGTCCATTTTTTAGGCGCCTCAAAATAAGACTCCTCACACGAGAAGGCAGAGCAGATGGGGGAGCCTGCTGGTAGCTTCACATGGCGATACAAGCACAGCTTGTTGGTGCATGAACCCGGAAGAGGGGGGCAATGGGTGATAGGAGAAGAGCGAAGCTATAGAAGATTTGGGCGAGAGGGGGGGAGGTAGCGAGGAGGAGGGGGTCATTGGGAGGAAGCGGGTGGGGGAGGGAGCAAGTGAGGGAGTGAGCGAGTGGGGGAGGGAGAGGGTGCGGGAGGGCAAATCAGAGACATGAGCAAGATACAGAGAGGAGGATGGGCTCTTACCCTTGGCAAAGAAAGTGCAGTCAGGCATGCGCTCTGGAATGATCTGCAATCGGGAGAAAGTGGCGTTTAGGGGGGAGGGGGAGTACGGAGAAAAAGCAAGGACGAAGGAACACCGTTGACAAACCATCTCAAAGTGCATGCTTGACTGCCCCAGCCACATCCACATGCCCACACACCCACCTACCCTTCCCTACCCATACACTCTCACGGTCTCCCCGCCTTGTGTGTGAGCTTGCATCTGGATTCGTCGCACTCCATCCCCCTTATAAATCACACACACCAGCACCCCACACACCCACCCTTCTTCAACCCCTACACTCCCACGGTTTCCCCGCCTTGTGCGTAAACTTGCATCTGGGTTCGTCACACTCCATCCATCCCCCTTATTAGCAGCACACACAGCACCACTCTGCACTGGTCTCGCACACAATGCAGCTAAACCATTCCCTTACCTTGTGCGTTAACTTGCATCTGGATTCGTCGCACTCCATCCCCCTTATAAACCGCACACACAGCGCCACTTTGCTCGGGTCGTGCAGAAACCGGCAGTCTTTCTTGTTGCACTGCCCCAGCCGCGTGAAGTACTGGCACAGCTGCTGCTGCTGCTTTTGCCGCCTGTAGCGCGCGTTTTGAAGGCTGTAGCGGACTCGAGCCCTGATGGTCAAGGAAAGAAAACGGAAGAAAGGGGGAGAAAGGAAAGAAAGGGGGAAGGGCGATGAGGGAGGGAGCCATTCTTGTTGCACTGCCCCAGCCTCGTAAAGTACTGGCACAGCTGCTGCTGCTGCTACTGCTGCTGCTGCTGCTTTTGCCGCCTGTAGCGTGCGTTTTGAAGGCTGTAGCACACTCGAGCCCTGAGATTGAGGGAGGAGGTTGGAAGGGAAGGTGGAGGGAGAGAGGGGGGAAGAGTCCTTGCGAAGTCCTTGTTGCTGCAGAGTCACCTCAGCAGCAGCTGTGCCAGTTCTTGCTGCAGCTGCCCGCCCAGCTGCACTAAGAAATGGCACAGCTGCTGCTGAGGTGACTTCTGAGTCGTCTCAAAAGTCACCTCGGAAGGGAAAGGGGGGGAGGGGGGGGAGTCATTTCTCACTGCAGCTGCCCGCCCAGCTGCACCAAATACTGGCACAGCTGCTGCCGCCCCTCACCCTGCCTCTACAGGCTGTACCGAGCATTGTGCAGGCTGTCACGCACTCGAGCTCTGTGCCCAGCTGCACTAATTACTGGCACAGCCGCTGCAGCCCCTCACCCTGCAGCTGTCTTTTTAAGTCCAACTAAGTGTTGACTCGCCTCGCCCTGCAGTCGTCTATAAAAGCCCAACTAGGTTTGGCTCACATCACCCTACAGCGACTCGCACAGCAACATTCGCCCCAGCTTGTTGTCCTGGCTGCCCACTGTGCGTGCAGCATCAAGTGCATTCTAGAGCCGGCCTAGTCACCTGTGAAACTCACTCGCTCTGCAGCGATTCGCACAGCAGCCTTTGCATTGAGTGCATCGAGTGATTTTTCTCTAGCTGGCTGGCTGCTTACTGTGGATGCCGATCGAGTGATGCATTCCAGACGAGTCCCAACCTGCGAAGCTCACTCACCCTGCAGCAGTTCGCATGGCGGCCTTGGCATCCCGCACCAGCTTGTTTCCTCGGCTGCCCACATGCCGATAACTGCTGGCAGCAAGAGCAGCCGTGAGAGGAGCGGGCAGGTGTGCCTTGCCACGTGGCGACTTGTCCTTGGCTGACCCGCCTACTGGGAAGAGAAAACGAAGAACGCAAGGGCAATAAAGAATATCAGGTGCACGATATAAACCGTGCGTCGAATGTCAGCCCCCGAATTCTAATCTCCATACACTCAAACCTCAGACCCTTGGGCCCCAACCCCTCACCCCCCAAACCCATCCGCCCCCCTCAAACCCTCAGGTCCCAAACCCCCTTAGCTCGCGAAACTCCTCTACTCACTGCTGAGGCGCACAAGGGAGCGCCCCTTGGCTGCCAGGCGGTACACAGAGGACCCTTGAAAAACCGTGGCTGGAGGGGTGGAGAGACAAAAGGAGGGGTGGTGCAGGGAGGGAGAAGGGAGGGAGAAGGGAGGGAGAAGGGAGGGAGAAGTGAGGGAGTAGGGAGGGAGAAGTGAGGGAGTAGGGAGGAAGCAGCGAGGGAGCAGGGAAGAAGCAGTGATAACAGAGGGCAGCAGTGTGACGAATGCACAAGAGAGCGACCCTCCCTTGGATGCTAGGCAATACATGCACGCATCATCAGTAACAAACCCTCTGAGGTTACAGGTATCAGCACAGCAGCATGTATCTGCACAATCACAACTGCTATAGTCACTCCCTCTGCTGTCTCCTCGCTGCAAGAATAGTAGCACCCAGCTTTTTGAGTGGCCGCCTTTACATGTGCAACTCATGCGCTCCGCAACAATAGCAGCACCCTCTGTGACCTAATCTCACAGCTATGCTGGCAGAACCAACCGATCACACACAATCACATCCGTTACAATCACTCACTCTGCTGCCTTCTCGCTGCAAGAATAGCAGCACCAGCTTTCTTAGCCGCCACCCTGGCAGCTATCCGGGCAGCTTTAATCTTCGTGCTCTCTGCCCGCACTTTCTCTCTCTCCGCCCGTCTCTTTGCCCGTTGCTCCGCCTGGCTCCTTGCTATCGCCTTCTTTGCTTTCTCCACTGCCTCGTCGCGCTGCCGCTGCCTCTTGGACGCTTCTGCTGCTGCCTTAGTGGCGTCCTGAGGGGGTAGCAGTAGAAGAGAGAGGAAGAGAGATGAGGCAATCGGCCTCTTTGCTTTCTCCACTGCCTCGTTGCGCTGCCGCTGCTGCCTAGAAGCTTCTGCTGCCGCCTTGGTAGCGTCCTGGGGGGTAGGACGGAAAGAACAATAGGAGTAGAAGAGAGAAATGGCTCCTGGCAATCGCCTTCTTTCCTTTCTCCATTGTCTCGTTGCACTGCCGCTGCCTTTTGAAGGCTTCTGCTCAAGGTTAAAAAATTACGCTGTCCTATAATACATTGATTGAATTCATTTCTCAGAAAAATTCCCTCACCTCTCTTGCTTTCTTCTCCTGCTCCTGCTTCTCCTTGCTCCACTGCAAGCTGTTTGTCCCGCGTGCAGCCCGCACACCTGAACAGGGGGCAGTGCAACGAGAGAGGAGCGGCAGTAGGAATAAGAAAACGACATGGAAAGAAAGCGAGAGACTGTACTTAGCTGAGGGTGTTTGAGGTGCCTTAAACAGATGTGACAGTGAGAGAAGGAGAGGGGAGTGTAAGCACCCGAGGAGGGTGATTGAAGTTCCTTTGAAAGGCGTGACAGTGAGACAAAGTAAGAGTGCGTAAGCACCTGAACGCCGAAGCGAGAAGCCGGAGGAGGAGCGAGTGTAGAGCTGCTGTGCCACGAACCTGGGGGAGGGGAGAGAGAGGTAAGAGACAGTTTGGAACGAGGGGAAATGAAGGTTCGGGCACGCCCTGGGCGCTGAAACGAGAAGCCTGAGGAGGGGCACGTGTAGAGCTGCTGTGCCACGAACCTGGGAGAGGGGAAGGGGAGAGGGGAGCAGGGGGGGGGGGGATTGGGAAGGGGCTGCTGGAAGAACTCCACAAACAGAGGAAAAGGAGGCAACGGATACTTGCTGTACGCCTGCACCAGTGCTGTTGTACTGTTACAGAAGCACTGGTACAATTCGCTGCACCAGAAGCAATGGATGACGGAGGAGTTGGCATGCATACAGTGCAGAATCTGTATTGAATTGAAAGCAGCTACATCGCAGCAGCGACAGCGATGACGTTCCGGCAGCCGGCAGCAAAGGGACTTTGCTTACCTTCGGTTAAAAGCCGCTGCGCCAACAGACGCAGCAAGGGATGCAGGCGTGGAGCGGCGGGAGACAAAGGCCGAAGCGGTGACAGTGGTGAAGGAAAAAGCCTTTAAACAGAAGATAAGAGACGTATGCTTACCTTCGGTTAAAAGCCGCTGCACCAACAGACGCAGCAATGGATGCGGCAGTGGAGCGGCGGGAGACAAAGGCCGAAGAGGTCACAGTGGTGAAGGGGGAGGCCTTTTGGGGGGTTGAGGGGGGAAGAGATGGCGCCTTCTCTGGAGTCAAGGGGAGAGGCGATGGATTCTCGTCTGCAGGGGCAGAACTAGCAGTAGCAGCCTTAGACGCGCCAGCAGCACCAGCCGCAGCACCAGCAGAAGCAGAATTACCAGCAGCAGCCGCAGCACCAGAAGCAGCACCAGCACCAGCACTAGCAGCAGCCGCAGCACCAGAAGCACCACCAGCACCAGCACCAGCAGCAACTGCAGCACCAGAAGCACCAGCAGCAGCAGCAGCGCCTTTACTGGCCTTGCCAGGCACAAGCCGCCTAACAACCAGCTTAGGGCGAGCCAGGGATATGCCTGTATGCCCGGCTGTAGCAGCCGCTACAGTGACCTTCCCTGCTGTCGCAGGCGCTACAGTCGTGGACTTCCCAGCAATGGTGTTTACAGATATAGTCTTTCCAGTTGTGGCTGCTACAGGAGCAGTCGTGGATCTCCCAGCTGTAGCGGCTACAGATGTAAGCTTCCCGGCTGTAGCAGCAGTATATGTGAACCTTTTGCTAGCAGCAGGGAGTGCAGGCATCTTGAATGCACCTGCCGCCGGGGAAGCAGTAGCAGAGGCAGGAGTACCTGCAGCAGCAGCAGCAGCAGCAGCAGCAGCAGCAGCAGCACTACCACCACCACCACCAGCACCACCAGCACCACCAGCACCTGCAGCAGCAGCAGAGTTTCGGTTCCACACAAGGGCCCCGCTGCCCCTCGCCCCAGCTCTCCCTCCTACCCCTGTCCTCCCACTCACCATCCCCCTTCCTCTCCCTACAAACGACACACCACCTCCCATCACCACCCCTCGGCCCCTTCCCCCAACAACCACCCCTCGTCCCCTCCCCCCCACAACCATCCCTCCTCTCCGCACTGCCAATGGACTGCGAACGATCTGGGCTGCAGAGGCAGATACACCTGCCCTAGGTACGCCTGCTGCCCCTCCTGTACCAGATACACCTCCCCTGGCTACACCTGCAGCTGCTGTTGCACCTGCCATTCCTGCTGCTGCAGGCACACCTGTTTTCCCCACTGTTGCAGATACACCTGTCCCAGGTGCGCCTGTCCCAATTGCTGCTGCAGGTGCACTGCCCCCTCCTGTTCTCACCCCTGCATCTCCCCCTGCCAATCTCGCATCAGCACCAACCCCTTCTTGACTTGCAGTTGAACCAACCCCTGCCTTTTTCCTGGAGTACGTCAACAGACTTGGCTGTTCCTTGGGCACCAATGGGCGCACGCCAGGTGGCACAACAACATTGCTGCTGCTGTTGTCTTGTCCCTTTTCCGATGTGAACAAATCCACATCAGCACCGGTAGCAACAGATTCAGCCCTTGCTACAGCTGCACCACTTGCAACGATAATGGGTGACTCTTCATTACTCCTACCTCCACCACTTGTACCCTCACCAGTTAAACCTTCATCACCAGTTAAACCTTCCTCACCAGCAGCAGCAACAGCTTCAGCAGACGTGTCAGTTGAGTCACTAGCGATGCTGATGGGGGAATCCCCCCCACTACTGGAACCTCCTTCGCTTGAATCATCACCGTTCGAGCTTTCCCCAATATAAATCTCCTCACTCGCACTCTCGCCACTAGAACTTTCCCGCCTTGCGGCGCCTGCTTTCACTGCTGCTGTGCCCACTCCCCCCCCCCCAACCCTCCACCTTCCCTTGCCATCCCTCCATCCCTCCAACTTCCTCTAGCAGCATCACCCCGTCCAATATTCACTCCTCTACTTCCCTCTTTGCTTCTACCTCTAGTGAAATCGCTCCCTTGACCTCCCAGTCCACTTTCCGCCAAGTCAGGCACACCTGCAACGACGCCAGCTGGTCCAGCCACGTCAGCTCCACATGGCAGTACATCCAGGCTCCAAGGATCAGCGTCAGCATCAGCAGCAGCAGCAGCATCAGCAGCAGCAACAGCAACAGCAGCAGCAGCAGCACCATCAGCACCAGCATCAGCATCAGCACTAGCACCGGCACCATCTGCACCAGCATCAGCACCCCCTTTCCCAGCAATCCCATCACCCCCCCCCTCTTTCTTCGGCGTCGCCTCAAAAGACGCAATCTCTTCTTTCGACAGCTTGAACACGCCCTGCAGCACAGGTAGGCCTTTCAACACCCCAGACACCACTCCCCCAGGCCCCTTTTCTGCGTCTTCCCCAATGTCGGAGTCTGACCCTGATGATGCATGCACGTCCAGGATTATATCCCATGGGTTTTCAAACTGCCTCTCCTCTTCCTCCTCCTCCTCTGTACTTCCAGCGCCCCTGTCCTCCTCCGAGATATAAGCGCCCCTATCTCCCCTTGCGAACTGCTGCGGCTCAGCTTCCAAAGCTGGCGGCTGCTCCCCAACTGCATGCGCTGAAGCTAAATGCATGTCAGCAGCAGAAGCCGAGTGCTTCTCAGCAGCAAAAGACGAATCCGTCTCAGAGGCAGAGGTTGGCTGGCAGTGCAAGGCTTGCTGATCAGCCGACTGCTGCTCTTGCTCACCCCGAGGCTCCGCAAACAGCAAAGAGCGCCTTGCAACACGTCCGGGAGATGACTGACGAGGACCAGGCTCGGGCGCGGATTGAGGACCAGGCTCAGGCGCAGGCTTGGCAGGAGGTGCGGATTCCGAAATGGGAGCAAGCTTCGGAGGAGGTGTAGGTCCGGAAGGGAATGCAGGCCCGGAGGGGGTACTACTGGCTGTGTGAGCTAGGCTCGCCAGGGAGAGCAATGCCAGCATGGGGGACTCCTGTGACAGCACCTCTGGTTCAAAGGAGTCCTCCAATGGTGGTGCCTTATTCATTCCTGCCTCGTTGTTTTCTGCCTCACCCGTTCCTGCCTCACCTAATCCTGCCTCACCCTCCCACATGCCCCCCCCCATCCGCCTACTGCCACTGCCCCTGCCACTTCCCCCATCAGCCCTTTGGCTCGCGGCAGCAGCAACGGCCAGCACTTGGAGCAGGGACGGGGCTGGCGAGCCACTAAAAGCACCTGCGTCAACTTGCGACTCTAACGGCTGTGACTCTAGCAGGTGAGACTCAAACGAATGGAATGTCTGTGGTGATTCACTGCCCTGATTCCCCAAGAACCGCTGCTCCTGCATCTGCTCCTGCTCCCCCTCCCGCTCCTGCTGCTCCTGCTGCCCCTGCCCCTGCCCCTCCTGCTCCTCCTGCTCCTCCTGCTCCTGCTGCTCCTGCTGCTGCTCCTGGAAGCCTCCCTCTGGGGACTGTGAAAGAGCCAGTCTGCGTGTGACTCTGGTAGACCGTGGCCTCACGTGCAGCCGCGCTTGGTGCATGACCCTCTCGATACTGTCACCTCCCACCTTCTTGCTACCAACAATGACCCTCTCTATACTGTCACCACCATCTCTCTTGTTCCCAGCCATGATCCTCTCTCTACTATCACCACCACCCATCTTCTTCCCACCAACTTTAGCCTTCATACTGCCACCAGATTCGAAGTCTTGCCTCCCACCAAACCCGAAATCCTCATCACCCCCCCTCTTATTGCCCCCCCCAACCCCACGAATTCTTTTGCCACCATCACCACCACCCTTATCGCCACCGTCCAATGCTTTTCCCCCTGCAGTTTCCTTTGGTGCCACGATCTTGAGTCGAGTCCCCCTGAACGTTATAGTCTTGTGTCGACTCCCCTCTCCTGCATTGACCATTGCTGACTTCTGTTGACTCACCTCTGTTGCTACAGATCCGTGTTGACTCGCCTCTGCTGCTACAGATATGTGCTGACTCGTAACTGCTGCTGCCGTCCCATGGTTAGGCCCCTCAACCAATCCGATTCCACCCTGATCCGCATCTACTGCTGCCGCCCCTTGCTTGACTCCCTTAACCACACGAGTCTCACCCAGATCCGTACCTGCTGCTGCCACCCCTTGGTTGGTCCCATCAGCCCCAGCAGTAACTCCCTGGTTAGCGTGTGCTGCTGCTGTCCCTTGCGTGGCTCCCGTAACCAATCCAGTTTCGCCCCGGCTAACATCTGCTGCTGCTGTCCCTTGCTCGGCCCCCTCAACCACTCCAGTGGCGCCCTGGCTAGCGTCTGCTGCTGCCGTCCCTTGCTTGACCCCCTCAACCAATCCAGTTTCGCCCCCGCTAACATCTGCTGCTGCCTTCCTTTGCTTGACCCCCTCAACCAATCCAGTTTCGCCCCTTCTAACATCTGCTGCTGCCGTCCTTTGCTTGGCCCCCTCAACCACTCCAGCGTCGCCCTGGCTAGCGTCTGCTGCTGGATGGACCTGCTTGGCTCCTTGCTGAGTGACTTGCTTAGTCCCTTGCAGGGTCCCCTTGACCTCTGCACTCTTGCCTTGAGTTCTCCGGATGACAGAGGGGGGAACAAACGCCAGGTGTGATTCATGCATGGGAACAGGTGCAACTGCAGCAGGTGCTAGCTCGGGCGCAGCTGTGGGTGAAGTGTCGAGTGCAGGAGCCATTGCGATGTTCTGTGCAGCAGCACCCAAGGCATCAGGAACAGTAGCAGCAGCAGCAGCAGCAGTGGCAGCGGCGGCAGCAGGAGCAGCGGTTGCAGGAGGGGTCACGGAAGCAGCAGCAGCAATCGCAGCAGCAGTAGCGGCGGCAGGCACAGCAGCGGCAGCAGGGGGGATAGAGGACCACCTGGATCTTCGTTTAGCCCCACCCGTGGCATCACCAGCAGCACCATCCCCAGCACCATCACCAGCAGCACCACCACCACTAGCACCAGCACCAATGGCATCACCAGCACCACCAGCAATACCAGCAGCACCAGCACCACCGCCCACGGCAATAGCAGCAGCTGCAGCAGCAGCAGCAGCAGCAGGTTGTGGCTTGGACGGTTGAGGCGGTTTGCGCACGTCAAACAACCCCTCGAGCCCTTTCGAAAGCCCTGCATTTTCCAAACAGCTCCCTGCCAGTCCCGCCCTCTTCCCCCCTTCCTTACCAGCCGCCTTCTTGAAAGAGGTGAGCTTAAAGGCGACAGGCTTCTTCTGCTGAGCTGATGGCTTCAGGGGAGCTGTGGACTCTACGGGTTCAAAAGAAGCAGGGTGTGGCAGACTCTCTGGCTGTAGCAGATTGTCGGGCTGCAATTGCCTTTCAGCCTGCACAGTCTCTGGCTGTAGCGAAGACTCTGGCGCTACGAAAGTGTCAGAATGAGGCTGAATACTGGGAGCACCAGGGGCATGCTTGGCAGTAGAGGCAGGAGACGCATAAGCATCTGCGCCAGTGGTCGCAGGGTTAGCAACCAGTGTGTCCGTGGCAGCAACCACTGTGCCCGTGGCAGCAACCACTGTGCCCCTGGCAGCCAGGTTAGCGATCCCTGTAGCGAATTGATGCTCTGAAGTGGCAGCAGACGGAGCAACATCGGCGGGAGCAGGAACGCACGAAGCAGCTGCACCATCAGCAGCAGCACCATCAGCAGCAGCACCATCAGCAGCAGCGCCAGCACCAGCAGCACCAGCACCAGCAGCACCAGCACCAGCAGCACCAGCACCAGCAGCAGCACCAACAGCACCAGCAGCACCACCATCAGCAGCAACAGCAGCATCAGCACCAACACCAGCACCAGCACCAGCACCAGCACCAGCACCGGCACCGGCACCGGCACCGGCACCGGCACCGGCAGCAGCAGCAGGACACACCAGAGAAACAGCTTCAGCAGTCGCCTTGTCACTTCCCTTCCCCTCAGCACCTTGAATTCTCGCTCCCTTTTCCTCCCTCCTGCTGCTCCCCACCTCCCTCTCCTCCCCTGAAGCCCCTCCCAGTCCAGCCTTGCCATACGACTCGACAAGTGGAAGCTCCAATGCTTCTCCCCTTCTCAGAGTAAGCTCCTTCTTGCTCCTGCTGCCGCCCATGCTGCTGCTTCTGCTGCTGCTCCTGCTGCTGCTCCCTGTATTCTTGCCCCCGCTTGTCCTATTCCTGCCCCTGCTGCCCCTGCTGCCCCTGCTGCCCCTGCTGCCCCTGCTACTCCTGCTCGTGCTCCTACTTCTGCTGCTGCTTCTGTGCCTGCTACTTATAGCAGCCGCACCCTTACCCCTGCTCTCACTACTGCTGCTTCTACTGCTCTTCCTCCTCCTGCTCCTGCTGCTACTGCTACTGCTTCTACTGCTGTCGCCAGTACTATTTTTCTTGCCCATCTGGCTGGTACTAGCTTTCTCCTTGCTCCTGCTTCTTCTTCCTCTGGCACCACTCCTCCTAACGCTCCTACCCCTTCCCCCTTGGCTGCTATTCCTGTTCCCCCTGCTGTGTGTCCCGCTGCTACTACTCTCGCTCCTACTCTCGCTCCTACTCCCGCTCCTACTCTCCCTCCCACTCTCGCTCCCTCTCTCGCTCCCCCTCTCTCTACGGCTCGTACTTCTGGTCTTGGCATCGCTTCTGCTGACATCACTCTTCCTAACGTTTCTACCTCTTTCCCCTTGGCTGATACTCCTGCTCCCCCTCCTGTGTGTTTGGCTGCTGCTACTCTCGCTCCCACTCTCGTTCCCTCTCCCGCTTCCACTCTCCCTCCTACTCTCGCTCCCACTCTTGCTCCCTCTCTCGCTTCTACTCTTACTTCCGCTCTTGGCATCGCTTCTGCTAACATCACTCTTCCTAACGTTCCTGTCTCTTCCCCCTTGGCTGCTACTCCTGTTCCCCCTGCTGTGTGTACCGCTGCTGCTACTCTCGCTTCTACTCTTGCCTCCACTCTTGCTTCTCCTCCTCTCACTGCTTCTGCTCTTGTCACTGCTTCTGCTCCTGTCTTTACTTCTGCTCCTGTCTTGACTTCTGCTCCTGTCTTTGCTTCTGCCCCTGTCTTTGCTTCTGCTCCTGTCTTTGCTTCTGCCCCTGTCTTTGCTTCTGCTCCTGTCTTTGCTTCTGCTCCTGTCTTTGCTTCTGCTATTGTCGTTGTTCCGGCTTCTACCATTGTCTGTGGTCCTATTTATACTTCTTCTATTTATACTTCTACTTCTTTCACTGCTTCTACTCCTATCTTCACTTCTACTCCTATCACGGCTTCTGCTCCTGTTTTTGCTTCGGCTGCTTTTACTGCTGCTTCTGCTGTCGTTTCTGCCTCTGCTGCTGCTCCTGCTGCTGCTTCTGCTGCTGTACAAGCTCCTGCTGCTGCGGCTGCTGCTACTACTTCGGCTGTCTCCGTCGCTTTTCTCCCCACTCCTCACACTCTTGCCTCTCTCGCCCCTGCTCGTGCTTCTTCGGTGGCCGTCGCTTGATTGGCTGCTGCTCCTTCTCTGGCTACTACTTATCCTTCTGCTCCTGCTGCTGCTTCTGCTTCTGCTTCTGCCTCTGCTCCTGCTTCTGCTCCTGCTACCATGTCTGCTGCTGCTCCTTCTTCTACTGCTGCTGCTGCCCCTGCTATCCCCTCCTCCGCTTCCCCTTCCATTGCCGCTCCTCCCTGCTCTGTCCCCTCTGCTGCCGCCAACCTGCATAGTAGAGCCTGCTCCACGTGGCTCCTGCTGCACACGTGGCCCATGCTTCCCGTCTTGCGCCTGCTTCCCAAGAAGCGCCTTCTCAGCAGCCTGAGCTTGCGTCGCCCTGCCAGCCCCTGCTGCTGCCAATCGGCCACTTGCCCTCTCCTCGCCTTGGCCTTTATCACTTGATCTCTTCTCCTCTCGCGTCTCCTCTCCAGCTTGCTTCTGCTTCGGCCTATCCCCAAGAGGCGTCTCCTCACCAGCCTGATTCGGTCTCTCCTCGCCAGGGCGACCTTGGCCCACTCCAGCACGGGCCCTCTCCTCGTCTTGCGCCTTACCCTTTTCTCTCCTCTCCTCTTGCAACTGCCTTCTTCCCTTATCCGCCGCCTCCCGTCCTGTTATTCCCTCACCCTCACTTCTCCTGTTCAGCTCAAGAGCCACATTCGCTCCCTCCCCTGCCTCCCTACTTTTCTTGACCACATCCTCCACATTCGCAATCTCCTCCCTTCTCACTTCCCCACCCTCCTCCCCTCTCCCCCTCACCTCCCCACCCTCCTCCCCTCTCCCCCTCGCCTCGTTCTCCTCCTCCACTCGCCTCCAAATCTCCTCACCCAGCTCTTCCCCCACCTCCCCCTCCTCCTCCTCAACCTCCCCCTCCTCCAATTCCACCACCTCTTTATCTCCCGGCGACTTCTGAGCTGACTTAAAAGCCACTCCACCTGCCACTAACTTGTGCGCCGAATCCGCCGCAGCTACATTCGCCCCTGACAGATGAGCCCTTGCCACTGCTGATTCACCTGCCACTGACTTGCGGGTCAACTCAGACGCATCTTTATCTCCCACTGACTGCTGAGTCGACTTTGGAGCCGCTTCATCCCCTTTAGAAGCCGCTTCATCTCCCAGCAGTCTCCGGAGCAGGGCGGAGAGACTGGTCGTGGGGCGACGTGGGGGTGCAGGGTCTGCGAGAGCAGCTGTTGGAACGCTGGCAGCATGTGATGGTACATGAGGCGCCTCAAAACCAGAGATACTGGTCGTGGGGCGACGTGGGGGCGCAGGGTCCAACCTGGCAGAAAGAGGAATGCCTGCCTGTGATGGCGCGGCGGCATGTGCCCTGCTGCCACCAGCTGTGGCACCAACCGCGTTGCCAGCAGCATCAACAGCAGCAGCAGCGCCAGCAGCAGCGCCAGCAGCAGCAGCAACAGCAGAAGCGGCAGCAACAGCGCGGGTAGCACCATGAGACGGAGGGGGCATACTGTTCATTGAAGACGGACCCAAGAATGCATTGATCCTGCTTCCCCCGCCCATTATTGGATCCCGATCATCTCTCGTCGCAGCTGCCCATACCCGTCCCTGCAAGCCCTGTTCCCCAGCAGCCCTACCAAAATCCTGCACCGCTCCAGACAACGCGATGCCAGGAAAAAGGTTACCAGGCAAACTGTTACCAGGCGAAATGGCACCAAGAAGCACGTTACCAGGCAAACTGTTACCAGGCGAAATGGCACCAGGAAACATGTTACCAGGCAAGCCAGAAGACTCCTCCCTTCCCGCTGGTCCAACATCCCCATAACTCACAACTCTCCCTCCCTGAAAGCCGTTACCTGCAGCAGCCCTGCAAGGGAAGCGACCCGGTTCAGCCGAGACGTTGCCAGGCGAACTGTTACCAGGCCAACTGTTCCAGGGCGGAGTGTTATTGGGCAGACTGTTACGTGGCAGACCAGCCTCCTCCCTTTCCTCTGGTCCCACGTCACCATAGCTCACGACTCGCCTTCCCTGGAAGTTGTTACCCGCAGCAGGCCTGCCAGGGAAGCGGACCAGCTCAGCCAAGACGTTACCAGGCGAAATGTTGGCACGCCAGCTGTTACCAGGCGAACTGTTACCAGGCCAACCGTTACGAGCCACGCCAGGCGCCTCCTCCCCTGCTTCTGGCTCGATATCCCCATAGCTCACAACTCTCCTTCCCCCGAAACTGCCTCCGAAACCGTTTGCTGCAACAGCCCTGTCAGCAAACCCTACCGCTTCATGCGAATTGTTACCAGGCCGACCGTTATCAGACGACATGTTACCAGGTGGTAACAAGTTGCCAGGCAAACGAGCAACACTCTCCCCCTCTTCCGGTTCAGCCTTCACAGCCTGCTGTCGCCTAGAGGCACCACCTCTTTTACCACGGCTCTTCTTTTTCTTCTCTCCCACTGCTGCTCCTTCGGCTATGCTTGCTGTTGCAGCCTCGATCGCTGCTTCTGCTGCTGCAGCAGCCGCCGCTCCTGCTGCTGCTGACGCTGCCACTCCTGCTGCTGCTGCCGTTGCTGGGCCAGCTACTGCTGCCGCATCCGCTGCTGCTGACGCTGCAGCGAACCCCCTGCATCCCACTGCAGCTGTTCTCGCACACACTCCCCCCTGCATTTCCTCTCCCTCTCCTCCCTGTCCTTCCTCTCTTCCTCTTCCTCGGTCACTTCTTCCTCCCTCCTCCCCAAACCCTCCTCCTCTTTCCTCTCCTACTCTTTCCTCTCCTCTTTCCTCTCCTCTTCTCCCCTCTTCCGCGCCTCTCCCCCCCCTCCCACCACCCGTTTTGAATCCACGCCCTCTTCTTCTCACAGCAGGCGTATCCCCATCGTCACCACGCCACAGCCCCTCCCTCCAAGCCTCAATCTCCCTCTCTCTCTCCCCCGCCTTTGCCCCCCGCGCTTCCACGTCGTCCCAATCCCAAGCCTGCACAATCCGAGCCCTCGGCTCGCCCTGCCGATCCAAACCGCCGTCCCAATCCAAATCTCGTCCGGACCAAGCCAGAACCGGCCGAGGTAAGTTCGGAGCAGGGTGGCTGCGGGAAACCGACCCAGGGGAGGCCTCCAACGCACGTCCGGCTATGCTCCTCTGCTGGAACTGATACGCGTTATGAACCGCCTCAGGATACGTCCCAGGTGCGTTCCCAAAGTATCCATTTTCCCCACTCGAATTCGCATGCTCGCTTCTCTGCTGTGCAAAGTCACCCCTCTGATGTGCATACTCGCCTCTCTCGTGCGCATGCTCCCGCCATGCCTCGAGACACAGGGAAGCTGCGTGCGAGGAACCGCCGTCAGCAGCAGCAGCAGCAGAAGGAGGAGGAGGAGCATAAGGACCAGAAGCCATGCCAGAAGCATAGGAAACGGCAGCAGCGCTTGGCGCGGCATGAGAAACGGCAGCAGTGGCAGGCGAATGAGACACGGGAGCACTTCCATGCCCAGCAGCGACGGCAGCATGTATACCATGTGGTGATACCACGGCTGCTGATGCTGCTGCTGCTGCTGCTGCTGCTCGTGCTGTTCTTATGGCGGCTCCTGAAGACGAGGATTTTATTGGCTGCAGGCTGGAGCCAGCAAAAGAATGTGGCGTAACATCCGCAGGAGGTTGCAAATTAAACTGGTAACCAGATGAGTTATCCGGATTTTGCCAAGGTGACTGAGGCGAGGGGTGAGGATAAGAGGTGACCGGAGGAGCAGGGGGGTTGGGAAGTATAGGAGCAGGGGACGAAGAATTTCGCTGAGCAAGAGCAGATGCCCGAGGCTGTTCACCAGGTTCGGCATGCAGACCATACGGGTGGCTCGGAGTTTGGTTCGGGAAGTGTGACATGACGGCGGATTGATACGGATGCGGTGCAGAGTGGTTAAAAGCTATTGTAGCTGATACGGGAGTTGGGGAGAAGTGGGCTGGATGAGGAAGTGACTGTTGAGGGTAATACTGGGGAGGAAAGGATTGAGGGGGAAGAAACTGAGGCTGAATATATTGAGGCGGATAATATGGAGGATGAAATGATTGGGGATGAGAATACTGAGGAGGAAAAGGTTGGGGAGGAAAGGATTGAGGGGGGAAAGATTGAGGCGGGAACGACTGCGGAGGTAACGGCTTAGGCAGTAACGACTTTGCAGGTACCGGCTTTGGAAGTAATGACTGTTGAGTTAACGCCTGGGGAGGCACCGACTGAGAAGGGCCGGATCCTGGTGGGATAGTAGCGCTTGATCTCTGCATCTGCGCGCCCTGTGATTGCGACCGTTGGATATGAGTTCCCTGCGATTGCGACCTTTGGATATGCGCCCCCTGTGTCTCCTGAGCATGGGGGTTGAAGCTTGGCGTAGCAGGCCGACAGTATACTGCGGGATACCCGACCGCCACGGGTGGCGCTTCAGACGATTCGTCGGTTGCCTGGTTAGAATTGACGGCGTTAGCCGGCGGTTCTGACGGCTCACCGGCTGTCTGGTTGAAATTGACGGCGTTAGGACTAGGAGACGGTCCTGCCGAGCCGTTTGCTGTCTGGTTGGAATTGACGACGCGCGGCAGCAGACGGAAGGACCGTGGATCCATTATCTGGTCGGAGACGTAAACGGGACGTTAACGGAAATTCCTGAGCCGGATCTGGTGACCCTTCGTTAAACCACGCACAAGGGAGGGGGTAGCAGAAACGGAAACATAAGGAAGTTTATGCATACGATAATCAACCAATTTTCCCGTTGTGAGTCTCTATTATCGAAACCGAAACAACGACATCACCAGAGGATTGGACCTGACACAACTGTAAGGAAAGAAAATGCATGACGAGGACGATACGGCGGAAGCGAAAGCAACAGTATGTAACACCAGGACGTAAACACAAGAGAGGGAGGAGGCACGACTGGCAGAAACAAGAGAGGGGGTGAGACAGCACGAAGAGATAAAGCGAGGGAAAGAGAGGGAGAGGGAAGGAGGAGCAGGGTGGTGGATGCGAGGGGAGCCTGCGGGGAGTCTGCGGAGGAGCTTGTGGGGGAGTTTTCGAGGGAGTCTGCGGGTGAACTCTGGCGGAGGAGTCCGTTGGGGGGGGGGGGGGGGCTCTGTTTGGGGTGAAGGGGCGGGGGGCGGGATCCGTTGGGGGGGAATCCGTTGGTTGGGGTTCGCCCCTCGGTTCTGGTTGGAACGAGATGATCCCTGTGCAGGTCTGGGGTGGCGGGAACCTGCTGTCAGGACTGCTGTTCAGCCAAGTGTCATCCTCCAGTACACTTTTTTGAAATCTGGAAAACTGGAAGAATTTCAATATTTGATATAACTAGGTGTGACAAGAAATTAAGTATTTCAAAATCTAACAAACAAGTTTGCAACTGTTGGGCTGAGAAATGCCCTTGGGATCTTTCCAGAGACTAAGTCCCAGTTGTAAAAGACTTGAGTAGTGCAGCGGAAGTTGAGTAGTTGAATCCTTGTACTAGTATATGAGAACAAGTGATTGATTAAAAGAAACAAGCATACAGTCTAAGTATATATAGAAAGCAGGCAAGTAAAGCAGTTGTAGAATACAGTTTAAGGAGCTTTTTCTCGAGTCGTACAGCGACTCGATTGCCAGTTCTGTTACCATCCTTGCAGCTGTAACGGTCAGTCGCAACCTCCGGTTGCGACTCTTCGTATCCATTCGTGTTCTTTGTCCGCCCCTTCGTGTTACTTCCGTTGACTCGCGTACCCGTTATGACTTTCCTCGAGTGTAATGTTTACACTTCAGAAACGCTCAAGTCTTTGAGATATTTCCAACACTCCCCTTTCGTTTCTGGAGTGTTGACGTGTTCAGATACGGTGACGTTTGTCTGCCCGGTCAGCAGCATGCAGTAGTCGAACTTTGCCTTCGCCAGTTTCTTCGTCAGGTAGTCTGCGGCCATTTCTGTTGTAGGGCAGTAACTGAGTTGAAGTCTCCCTTTCGCGATTTCATCTTTGACGAAAAAGTACCGCAGGGCAATGTGCTTGGTTCGGTTGGCGAAGCCGTCCTTGTTCGCGATTTTGATCGCAGATTGGTTGTCGCAGAGGAGTGAGAAGACGGGCAGGGTCGCAATCTTCGCTTCCTCGAGCAACTCTCGCAGGTAGAGTCCTTCCTTGGTTGCAGTACAGAGGGCGATATATTCTGCTTCAGCCGAAGATAGTGCGATTAGTTCCTGTTTGCTCGACTGCCAGGAGATAGTCCCGATAGGTTCTATTCGGTAGATGTAGCCCGTTCTCGATCGTCAATTTTCCCTATCTCCCGCGTGGTCGGCGTCGACGTATCCGAGTAGTTGTACGGATTGTGTTGTTACTTTGCTGTAGGTAAGTCTGGTCGTTGGCGTAGAGACGAAGTAGAGTAGTGCCCGGTTTAGTTCTTCGAGATCTTCTTGTTCCGGCTGCTTCAGGTGCGTCGCCAACTAGCTTGCCCTGTAGGATAGATCAGGTCGGCAGGTTACTGCTGCGAATAGTAGGCAGCCGAGCTTCTGCTGATACTCCCGGATTTGCTTCGCGGGGAGTTTTGCGGAGGTGTCGTTGTTGTTCCCGTAGCGTAGGGAGTCGCGACTGTAGTTGGTGTTAGTCCGAACTTCTTTGCGACGACGCCTGCGTATGTTCCAGCATATAAGTAGAACGCCGAGTTGTCTTCGACGACGTTCAGACCCAGGTACTGGGTTACGGTGTCTGACACCGTGAGTGTCAAGTCCCTTTTTAGCTCCCCTTCGAACCAGGTGGCGATGTCAGTAGTGGAGCCGATGTAGAGCAGGTCATCGACGTAGACGATGAGTATGATGAATTCCCTTCCTTTCTGTAGTCGGTACACGCCTTGGTCGTGCGGCAGTTGTAGGAATCCGATTCCAACGAGGCGACCGTGAAGGTGCTGCTGCCAAAGCCGCGGGGCTTGCTTGATCCCGTAAAGGGATTTTATCAGCTGGCATACTTTTGTGGGGTCGTCGATGAATCCGTGGGGCTGCTCGACGAAGATCTCGGTGTCCACAGGTGCGTACAGGAAAGCATTTGCAACGTCGATTTGGCGCAGTGGTAGTTTCTTCGTGGTCGCGACGGTGAGTAGGATGCGCAAGGAGGTGTGACGGGAGACTGGGGCGAATGTTTCTGTGTAGTCGGTTCCGTATCGTTGATCGAAGCCTCGTACGACCCAGCGAGCTTTGAATCGTTCGATGGAGCCATCCGCATTGGTCTTGATGCGGTACACCCATTTTCCCGAGAGAACGTTCTTCCCGTTGACGTTCGTTGCAGGTACCAGCTTCCATGTATTTCGGTCTTGCAAAGCTTTCAGTTCCTTTTCATTGCCTCCTTCCATTTCGCCTTGTGTTCCCCCCCCAGAGCCTGCGACAGAGTCGTTGGCTCGCGCGGAGATGGCGACGGCGGTGCTGGACGGAGACCCATAAGCCGAGATTTGCAGTCCCGTGGGTGTGTGTCGAGGGGAATTTTCATTCCCGGAATAAGCTGCTTCGTCACATCTTCTGGATCAGGTAAGAAGTTGGGGCCGGATGCGTTCTGAGATATTCGTGTCGACCGGGTGAGGTGTAGCGTAACCTTGGTCAGCGAAGTGGTAGAGGGTGTCGAGGTTGTTGCTATCGAGAGGATTGTCTTCGTCGAGTGGAACAGTACGGAACAGAAAGGGAGTGGTCCGGCAGCTTCCGAAGCTCCAGGTACGTCTTCTTCTGCTGCGTCAGCCTCGGCAGCACGGTCAGCGAAGAAGCGAAGGCCTGCGACACCGTCGTGGGGTCGTCTGTGTTGGCGACGTTGTCCAGGTAATGCCTGCAGCGTCAGTCGTTCGTAGAAGATCACATCACGTGATGCCACGGTATTTTTGTCTTGTATGTCGAGGATTTTCCATGCTTGAAAATGTTCGGCGATGCCGAGGTGTAGTCCCCATCGTGCTCGTTGAGTGAAGCGTCCTGCTCTGGCTGTGTGGGGTCTGTACTGTACCATGCAGCCGAAAACCCGAAGTAATTTTGTGCTGCCCCTTTTTCTTGTCCACAGCAGGTGCGGTGATGCGTTGTTGGGAAGCGATGACGAGGATAGCAGGTTGTGCAGGTGGACTGCATGGGTCATCGCGTCTGGCCACAGTGCGTTGGGCAGTCTCATCCCTAGGAGCATCTTCCGCATCATTGTCTGCAAGGTCCGGTTCATTCTTTCTGCGACCCCCTGTGCTGGGAGCGTAGGGCAGAGACACCAAGCGTCTGATTCCTCTTTCCGCCAAGTAGGTCCTGAAGCGTTGTGACTGGTATTCTAGTGCGCCGTTTGACTGGAAGCTTTTGAGCTTCGTTCCTGATTCTCGTTCAGCGATGGGAAGCCACGTCTTGTAGGCTTCGAAGGCTTGGTCTCTCGTCTTGAGGTTGTAGTGCCAAACATATCTTGTCGCTGCATCGATGAACGTTATGACATAGTTGAAGTCGGCTTGAGTGTCGTCTCGAGGCATGTTTAAGATGTCGCTGTAAACATTTTCCATCGGTGCGTATGCAGGTGCGCTTGGATTGTGATGTGATGGAAAAGGTTGGTGCTGAAGGTCTGCTTCGGGGCATGTGAAGCACCGTGCGCGAGGTCGTCGAAGTTCTTGTCCGCTTGTTGTAAGGAGAGCGTTTCGTTCTAACACTTCGGCTTGGATGGTTTGTAGTACCGTGCTATTTGTAGGATGCCCAAGGCGTTGGTGCCAGATGTCTTTGGAGGCGCGATGACCGGGCGAGCATTGGTATATGTCCGGTGTTGGAGAAGAACGCGACGACCGTGGCGGGGACTTCGGCAGACTTCTCGTGTGATGGGCATAAGTTGATCTGCTTCGGTTGGTGGTCCTCGGATCGTTGGTGGTGGTACTCGGCTGGGTCCTGCTGCTGCTGCTGCTGCTGCAGGTGATGGTTGGGAAGGGACGCTTGCTGGTACTTGTCTTTCTTGTCTGATGACTGCTAACGCCCGTGTTCTCTCTGCTGCAGGTATGGTGTTGGAGTACCAGAATCCGTCGGGGTTGAAGTCGGGGTCAAGATCCGGTGGGTGCGTCCAGGCTGCGAACGACACGATGCCATCGCTGTCGGCAGTACCGCGGTCGGGGACGAAGTCCAACACGAAGACGCCGGACTTCAGGAGAGCTCGACCGATGAAGAGACCGCCCTTCCCGTGGTAAAGACGAAATTCGTTGGAGTCCGAGTCGCACTCCAGGTGAATCCCTTTTGCCATTAACTTGCTGACGCTGAGCAAGTTGTATCCCAGATTGTCGACGATGAGAACTTTGTTGAGTTGTAGTATAACGTTTGTTTCCATGGACTGTAACTGAACCACTCCTTCTCTGTTTGTTTTCAGGTTCTCGTTGTTGGCGATGGTGATGATGACATCGCGGTTGAGGCGTCGTTCTCGCTGCACGAAGCGCCCGGAGGAGCACATGTGTTGACCGCAGCAGCTATCCAAGAACCAGGTGTTTCGTCCGGTGGGTTCGGCGTTGGCGACTGCAGCGTATGTCGGGTTGACCTGAAGTCCTTGAGAGCGCGGCGGCGGCAGTTCTTCTTCGTCTGGAGCATAAGTGGGTGGTGATCCGGGTGTGCAGCTGTCGATGTGTATCATGCAGATGATGATGTTCGGTGTACTTTGCGCAGATGTGGAGGAGCGCCTTGGCGGGCTTTCTTGAGTGGAAGCGACTTGTGGGTCTATTGGACGATAAGCTCGGGGACGTGTGCAGTTGACTTTGGAGTGTCCGGATGTTTGGCAGTTGTGGCAGAACGGCGGCACAATGGTGAGTCCTCTGTTGTCGCGTTGTTCTTGCTTCCCGCGTCGATTGTAGTTGTTGTCGTTCCTTCGTTGAGTGTAGAAGACTAACGGTTGCTGCTTTCTTGGTTGTCTTTCTTCAAACAGGTCCATCTC